TGGCCTGCTTCTCACTTCCTGCTATGCGACCCAGTTCCTAAGAGGCCACTGGCCTGTACTGGTACTTGTCTGCTGCCTAGGGGATGGGGACCCCTGCTCTACATGATCTCCTCCTTCCTCTTCCTCTCTCTCATTTCCTACTCCTATCCCCCTCCTTTCACTTATTGTTTTTGACCATACAAGGTATGTTCCCTCCTCGAGGCCTCTGCACTTACTGTTCCATCTGTCTAGAATGCTGCTTGTGCAGATGTTGGCACAGTTCGATCATCTGCTTCAGATCTTTACTCAAACGTTATCTTCTTAGTGAGGACTTCCCCATCCAAAACTGTAACGCCCTTCCATGTACACTCTTTCTCTTTTCATTCTCTGCTTTCATTTTCTCCTCAGCAGTTGCCACTATCTAATACACTCTATATTTTACTTATTTACTTATTGTAAAATAAGTATCTTATTTTACTTGCCTCCCTCACTGGACTGTACACTCCATGATGACAAAGATTGTGTTTTTGTCCACCACAAAATCCCCAGTGCTAGAATAGTACCTGAGACACAGTAGTCACTAAATACATATTTGTAGAATGAATTAAAGAATACCAGGGACAGCCAGATAATATAAATAAGGTAAGGGGGCTGGGTATAAATAACTAAGCAAAAACTTTACACGTGGTCGGAAAATAAGGAAAACTGAAGGGTATATGCCCTATCTAAATAGTAGTACACTCTTCAGCTCTAGAAATTGTTGCCATGCCTTGCAATGCACAAGAAAACCTAGAAACCTAGATTTTTATGAGAAAGCTGACAGTTTTTAAATGCTGATTTAAAAATAAGTTTTAAAACACCGTGTAGTCCTAACGAAACATATCTGTAGGCATGATTCTCAAGTCTGTAACTTCTTGGGGTAAGCCAGCAGAGCCCCAAAGTCCCACTCTTCCTTGACCCCATGTTACAAGGTACTCTTCTTTTCCATGATATAGAACATGGGGCGTTTGGTCCACTATAGAGCGGGATGACGACAAAAAACAAAGAATTACAATTCTCAGCAGAACAATTTTTTTTTAAATTGTGGAAGCCTCTGTTGTCAATAATCATTTGAAAATAAGGCATTAACCCTTTCAGACCACTGCTGTATCATTCAGAGTAATAACAGCCATATTCTAATCAGTATCTTATGTGGATATACAGAGCTTCTAAAGGCCTCATATAGTCCTTAAAAAGTTAAAATAGTTAAAAGAATTGAGATAATCAGCACAAGCTATACTAGTACATAAAACTGGAAATCTGTACGCATGCCTAATCTGCAATTAGGATTCCTTCTTGGCACTGGACTGAAGAAACAGGAATCCCAATTCCTTACAATCTTTCTGATTACAACTTGCATCTGTTCAGGTTGACTTGTATTTTATCAACTTACACTTACTGACAAACTACTAAGGATAAGGTACTCCGGTGTCTTTTTTCTGACCCCACTTTTGACGCCAAAGGTAGTTTTTCCACTCCAACAACCTATTCTCCAACACCACTGAGTGTCCAACAGTTGATTTCAATTCTGACACTATTTACCTGGAGCCACAAAAGGGGGGTCCATCTCATACTGCTGTCTGGCTGACTACAAATTTAGGGGGTTCTCACAAATCCACCTCAGATTCAACAATTTGCTAGAACAGCTCACGGAACTCAGGAAAACACTTTACTTACATTTACTATAAGGATTCAACTCAGGAATAGCCAAAGGGGAGAGATGCATGTGGCAAGGTATGGGGTGTGGAGCTTCCGTGCCCATTCCAGGCGTGTCACCCTCGGAGTATATCAATATGTTCATCAACCCAGAAGCTATCAGAACCTCATACTTTGTTCAAGTTTTTATAAACTAATCTGCAGCTCCCCTTCCCTCCTCTTTGACCCGAAGGGGCTTGTTATGAATAACAAGACACTCCAAGGATGTTAAGAGCTCTGTGACAGAAACCTGGGACAAAAACCAAACGTATTTCTTATACTACGGGTACTATTCTAGGTGATGAGAATGCAAACAGACATAAAATGTATTTCCAGCCTTCAAGTGATTTAAAATTCAGTTAGAGAGATAATTAACCACAAATGTGCAATAGCATTAAAATATCAAAAGGAAGAGCAACAGGAGGGTTGAGGTAATCAGGGTGGCTTAAAAGAGATGGGACTTGAGCTGAGTATTAAAGAAAGTACAAACTTCGACATTCAGAAACTAGGTAATAGAGTATTTTGGGCTAAATGAGGAGCAGAAGAAATGATGTGATTTACAGGGCATCTTTCTGAAAAAAAAAGACCTGAAAATGATCTACAAGACCTCTTTTGAAAGAGAATATAATGGGCTGACTGGTAACCCAAAAAATATGTCCACATCCTTATCCCCAGAATAAGTGATGATACCTATGGCAACAGATGTGATTATCTTGAGAGGAGGAGCTTATCCCGTATTATTTTGTTAAACCCTAAATGCAACTCCATGCATCTTAAGGAGAGACAGGCAGAGAGAGTTTTGAGACAAGACACACAGAGGGAAAGGTGAGGTGATGACAGAGCCAGAAGCTGGAAGAGGCAAGGTATTCTCCCCTCGGCCCTCCAGAGGGAGTAGAGCCCTGCTGACACCTTGACTTTGGACTTCCGGCCTCCAGAACAGTGAGAGAATTAATATCCATTGTGTTAAGCTACCCAGTTTGTGATAATTTGTTATACCAGCTCTAGAAAACTACTAGAGAAACTTTTTAGATATATGAGTTAGATGTCAACCAGAACTGGTTGGAGAGTGCTTTGAAAGGAATAGTGTCACATAAACAAGAGACTTACTAAATGAACATAAATACTATGGAATTGAAAATGTCCTTCTATAAGGTCTCCTTGTTTTAGTACATGATCATTTTAGGGCTTATTGAGCCTCAAAGAAATTAAGTAAAATGCTGAGGAACAATATTTCTCCCTGACAGAGACCAGCTCTATCTTCTGCAACCCACTGTTTATTCAACTGTATTTATTCACACGGCTGTAATCATTTTTCCAACAAACTGCTAATTCATGACATTTCTTGATTTTTCTTATGGAGAATTTTAACTCATGTACATCTCAGTCACTGATGCCTTCCAATTTTTACACTAGTCTTTCTATTTTTAAAAAACCACCAAAATGTACTCTTCAGTCTTTAAACTTAAGTCACCTCTTCCCCAAAAATTCCCCTGACAAACCTCTTCTGGGCCCATCACTCTGTCCCTCCCATGGTGTGATAGAGCAATAGTTAAAATCAGAGAATTTTTTGTTTAGATCCTAGATTTGCCATGTATTAACTATGTAACCTTTGGTAAATCACAAAACTTCTTAAATGTATCCATTAGTAAAATGAGAGACTGGGAATTCAAAGATTGGAAAACTGTCAGTCTACTATCAAATAGAGCCTGCAGGAAAGTTTGATTTGGTCAGCAGCATTTTTCTTAAACCCAACTGAAAGCGTTTAGATGAGAAATGAACTCTATTAACTGCCACAGGCCCCCACCACTCTCTCATTTTGCACAAACTGCTTCTCCTAGTTCATTTATTTCTATTATCTGACTGGCACCTGTATGCAAGTAAAGTTTCCAATCACTGAATTAGATGATCTCTAAGATTTTACACAGTTCTCATGAGCATTTTTTATACCTTTTCTACCTAGTTTTCATATGATCATCTCCCCAGTAGAAAGTCCAGAACAGGGATTCATAAAATCATATAATCTCAAAATTGGAAAAAGCCTTAGAGATTATGCAGAAGAATCAAACCCTCTTGTATGACATAGATGAAAAGACTGAAGCCAAATGCTTAAGTTACTTGCTCAGAACCTCCCAATTTAAATCAGCGCAGGACAATTTAAATCAACAAACATTAACAAAAACATTCACTTTGTGCAAGACCTTATGTTGGAGCTACAAAGAGAAACTGACTCAACTGTCTAGGGCACATAAGCTAGTAAAAGGCACTATTCAAAGTGAAGCAACTATTCAAAGCACGAATGCTAAAAGGAAGGAGAAATTAATTTCTTTCACTTTTAGTGAGATCTGAGAAAAACTCCTGAAGGGGAGACATTCGATCAGGGCTTTAAATAATGAGTAGGACTGCTGTTACAGACAGGGAAGTGAGGGCCCAAAGTGAAAAAGCCAAGAGGCGAGTAAAGGAACAACACATTCAGAAAAAGTAAGTAAATCAGCATGGCTGAGGTGGAGTGATAGAAGATAATCTTTCTTAAAAGCAAAGTGTAGACAAATCCTATTTTCTTTAGCCCACCCCACCTTTTCATCCCCCTGACCTAACAACCTAAGACAGAGCTAAAAATAATGGGAACTCAATAATAATTTATGATAAAAACAGTAGTGGCAGTTAGAAATTAGAGCGGGATTATTATGATATGCACTGTACTAAATATTTCATATGCATCATCTCATTTAATCCTCATAAAAAATCTATGTGGTAGGTAATATTGTTGCTTTCATCATATATGGGAACTGAAACTTAGAAAGGATATGTAACTTTACCAAAATCACACAGCTAAAAAGTAGAGTCACACCCAACTTATGTCTCCAAAGCCTATATAGATCAAAATAAAGGCTAACGAATGTATTAATCAGAAAACTTACAATCAGATTATCAATCTCCAAATATCAATCGTTGTACTGCAAAAGAGGGACAATGAGGAGTGGATGGGAAAGACTTCTTGCCTGCCCTGACTCAACTGAATTCCTTAACCTTAAAGAATGCTTTTGTTCTGAGGTTAAAGAATGCTCTGAGAGTATAGTATAAAGCTTCGAAAGTTTCTATAACTGGGGACTGTAGACAAGTTATTTCACTTTTAGGAGCTCCAATTTCCTTGTCTGAAAAATGGATATGTCACCTCCATAACCCCAGAGCCCAAAGCAGAGCCTGGCACATAAGCTCTCAGTCTCAGTAACTGACTGACAAGCTGGCAAAGAGGCCCTGGACCCTTCTGCAACTCCGAGGCGACTTACCCCAAGGCCAGCTTCCCCCTCAGATTCTGCATCCATAACGCACCTGCAATATCAACACAAGCCGTCAGTTCAGACGCCTACCTCCACTTCCTTCTACCGCCCCATAACCGTTAAGAAATCCTTACCCAAACCTTCCAGCATAACTGCCGCCATCTTTCTCCCACCCTCTACGGAAGCCTCCGAGTTCAGGCACCGTCCGGTCAGGACGCATGCGCAATCCCCTGCATTTCCTACTGAGCGGAAAACCTAGGGCACCTACACCCGCGGTGTTGTCATGGAGACCACAAACAGGTGGCCTGAGCTTAAGGTGTGGTCAGCCCAGCCTCGCTCGGGAATGAATGACTTAACAAAGGCCGAAAACTAGTGAGTTTCCGAAAATTTATCGGGATCCAGAAAAATTGCGAAACCTCACCTCACAAATGGTCTGAAAGGATTAAGAAAACAGGCTGTGAACAAGCCACCTAACCCCGTGGGCTTCAATTTTCTAGCCAGTAAAGTAGTCAAAAATAATTATCCCGACGCACAGTTATGTTGTAAGATCACTAGAGATCATATGGAAATCTCTTTTAAAAAAACAACCAGCTCAAGTACAAAGTACGATGTCCTATTCCCTATTGATATCTAGGTTGACCTACAAGAGGTAAAAGTTAATCATCGGGAACTTTCTACCATGTGTATCCACCAGGCATTTCACTAAATCCCATGTAAATATTCCTCACAGCAATCAGGGCATCTTTCTGATATCACCTTCGAATGAATTATCACCTTCGAATGAAGAAACAGATTTAGGATAGCTTAAAGTCTCTTAGATAACAACTGACAAAACCGGTAGTCAATCTAGGTAGGGTTGGACGCCTCCAAAATTAGCTTCCCTACGTACTTCAAATAGATATCTCAGGTTTCCTTTGCTATATATGCAATAGTGCCAGATACCCAATACAAACAAGCAATACAGGAGTAGTAGAGTCTAAAGGCAGAAATCTGAGCATTTTAGCGTGTTTGAGTTGGAAGGAAACCTCATTCTTTTTCCTCAACAGCACTTACCACGTAACAGTTTCAGAGTTGGCACTCAATTAAAGCAGGAGTCACTCTATTTTGCTCCTTGAGTTATCAAGAACCCGGAGCCAGAATTTCCCCTAGTTGCACAACACTTTGCTTTTTGATATCTGATTCGAACTTTAATATTTTTGTTTATTGGCTTTTTATAGATATTTTTAAAGAATCTCAGAGCAAAGTGCCTTGGCACACAGGGTTCAAAAAAATACCTTATTTTTTTAAATAAGTGGTTGAAACAGATCCAAAGAATAAACAGGCACAGCGACGAAGTGACTCCTCCAGTCTAATTCCTTAATTCTGCACTTTGGCTGTAGGAAGAGAGAATGCCTAACCCCGGGGCAGGGCTCAGGCAGCACCAGACCCACCCGCCGCAGGCGAGGTAGGGAGGCATAACGCAGTGACCGCAGCCACGCCCTTCCCAGCTCTGCTGCGACCAAAGCAGAGCGCGCGGTGCAGTCTGGGCCTCCGCGCGCGCCGTAGCGGCGGGCCCAGGAAGGCGGGGCTCCGAGCTAACCCCGCCCCCTTCCCGATTACGGCGTGGGGCTGCGAACCGTCTGTCCCAGTGCCTCCCAACATCAACTCTGGTAGCCCGTCATCATGGGACAGGAGCCGCGCACGCTGCCGCCCTCCCCTAACTGGTACTGCTCCCGATGCAGCGATGCCGTACCTGGGGGTCTTTTCGGGTTCGCGGCGCGGACCTCCGTCTTCCTTGTCCGCGTGGGCCCGGGCGCGGGTGCTATCCCTGGGACGCCCCCATTTCGAGGTAACTCTCTACCCCTGGTCCCTCGCCTTTCCTGCACTTACTGCGTTCCCCGGAGGTGCCGAGTGGGCGTCTTCAGCCACCCCTTTGTGCAGATAAGGGAACTGAGGCTCCGGCAGGGAGAAGGGTCTGCTCACAGTCTAAGCTGAGTCTCGTCCGGATCCCCAATATTGAGCTACGCCACGCTGTGGATGAGCGGTCCCGCCTCCTGGCGCTCTCACGTGGGACTGCTCGCATCCTGAAAAGTTATCCTTGTCTACACCCAGGCATTTATAACATCTTTGGCCTCCCTCCCCCACCCAGCGTGCGCGACCCCTTACAGAGCCTTCCTGGGGTTAGGGGCTGCTAACAGCTCCAGGCCCTAAGCTAGATCCTGCAAATATATGATACTCGTTTCTTTAAGATGAATGAATTGAACCAGATGCTTTCAGTTACCAAATTAGATTTGGATTATGCCTTGGGATATGGCATGCCAAGTATTTTTTCTATTCCAAACGACTACTGGCCAGATCTAAATAAGAATCACTTAAATAATTCATGTGAGCTGCTCCCCTGCCTGTGAACTAGGCACATCAAGGGATCTCAGCAGCATTTTACAGTTGAGAAGACAAGCTCAAGGAGGTAAAATAACTTGTCTGAAGTCACGTGGCAGAGCCAGTGCCAACACTTGAGGTTTCTGATTGTGAGCCCCTGGATATTTTTGTTATACATGGGATAAGTGAGATCTCACTCATCATCTAACAAGAGTATGATTCTGCCAGAAATCTTTTTAATCTTAAGTCTGGTTTTGCTTGAAGTCATAGGGGAGTTGGTGGGACACACCGAAAGGGTCTCTGGCTTCACATTTTCTCATCACCCGGGTCAATACAACCTGTGTGCCACCAGCTCCGACGATGGGACTGTGAAAATCTGGGATGTAGAGACAAAAACAGTTGTGACAGAACATGCACTCCATCAGGTACCATGGCTTACTGGTTTCTCAGACTGTTATATATATATATCTGCTAAGGGTCCTTTTGCATCAGGTATAGTTTTTCTGTTGTTTTGGGGTTTTCTTGTTGGGTTTTTTTGTTGGTTTGTTTTTTGTTTTGGGGGTTTTTTTTTTTTTTTTGCATCAAGTATAGTTTTGCTAGCTCATCTATGCAAGGTAACTTGTATAATTATGTTCATTAATTAGATAATAAGTTCTGTATTGTAAGAAACTTTTTTGGAAGGAAATACATATAAACCAAAGGTCAGCAAACTACACTGCTGCCCATTTTTGCAAACTGTTTTACTGTCATTTAAGAATCGTTCACAATTTCAGTATTGGCTGCTTGCATGCTTCTCTGCAGAGCTGAGTGGTTGTAACAGAGACAATGTGGTCCATAAATTCTAAAATATTTACTGTCTGGTTCTTTACATGAAAAAAAGTCTTGCTACAAACTATAAATGAGTGAATGAAACTTTGTAAACCAGACGATTACTTGATACATCTGCCTTTTGTGATAATGTATGAAAGGAAAACTCAATCTTAGTAAGAACTTTGTATTAAACTATTAAAAGAATAAGTTACATTTTAAATGGTTCTTTGATCTTCTATAGCCTAAATTCTCCTACCATTTGGTTAGTGTAGTCTTGCTATGCAAGTGGTACTAACAGTATTAAGTGCCTATAATTTGCCTACTATCATCCAGGTTAAAAACTAAGTAAAAACTGAGTATTGACAAATGAGAATCAAATATATTTGTTTTGTTTTAAAGCACACAATATCAGCATTGCATTGGTCTCCTCGAATAAAGGACTTAATAGTTTCTGGAGATGAAAAAGGAGTAGTTTTCTGCTACTGGCTTAACAGAAATGACAGCCAGTACCTCTTTATAGAACCCAGGACAATTTTCTGTCTTACTTGCTCACCTCATCATGAAGATTTAGTAGCCATTGGGTAAGTACCATACCACTGGTATTGAAATTTATTTTTGCTTATGATCATATTCTGCATTTGCTATACCTTTACTTGTCCCTTTATTCCTCAAAGGAAACTTTACAGGTGTTAACCACTCCCCCTGAGCTCTTGGTGTCATTTATTTCTGTGACCTCCAGGTCCTTACCATTTCTCCCACCTTGTTTTTGTTTCATTGGTTTCCATGATCCTGTAGTTTCCTCATTCTTCATATTTGATTTCTCCAGTCAACCTCCAAATGTAGGAACTGCCCTCTTTCACCTTTTCTCACTATATACTTGCCCCTGGATTTAACATTTACTCCTAGAGAGTCAAATGACTCAGCTCTGTCTCTCTGGTTCTCAGCTTTCCTCACTCTAGATTTGGAAAACGATCTGGTATGGGCATCTGTTTCCTCACTGATCACCAAAGTTATTTCACACAATCAGCTTGAGTGGGTCTCCCCCTCTCTCACCATTCTATTTACGTCCCTCTCAAAGATGTCCATTCATTCTGTTTGAAAACCGGATAAGTACTAGAATGTTGGAGGAGAAAATCTGAAGGGGATTCAAGAGACTGGGGGATAAGGTGGTAAAGATACATAGGGAGACCATGTTTTCACATAGCTCATTGTAAAAATGTGCTTAGACATGAAGCCAGAGGAAGAATACAGGGGTCAAGGGAGAATTAAACAGAAGATAACAAGGGCGTGTTTTTACACTGATAGAAATGAGGCAGAAGGGGGAAAGCGTGTTGCAGGGGTAAACTTAGATAAATATAGGAGTGATTTTGAGAAGTCAAGAGGAGACTGGATCCAGATCACAAGTAAGAAGAACAGCTGAGACTATGGAACGAGGTGCAGGTCAATTTATAGATCTTGTTGGAAGAGGAGGATGCTTCATTCTGATGGCATCTGATTTTCTCAGTGAGGCATTAAGTCAGAGAGAAAGAGTCAAGTTTAGGGTGGGAATGAGACTGGATGTGGGAGCTAAGATATGAAAGCAGTCATCTCAGAGAATAAGAAAATGAATTTACTGAGGAAAATTGTAGGTCCACTGGTCACTGTGGAGTGTCTTGCTAAGGATCATAGTCATGACTTTTAAACTATTCAAATTGACTGAGAAAGGAAATAGTTGGATTCAGCTAGGTTTGGGGGTTCTGTGGAATAAGTACCTCTGAGAGAGAAGGGACAAAGGAGATAAGGGTGCTTTTAAAGGAGTGATTATAATGACGGATCATGAAATCTGTGCTACATGGGAAAGATAACAAGACAGACATGGCTGAGTCATAGTGAAAGTGGAAGGGGTCTGTGGACTGGCAGTCTCTGTGAGGTGGGAGCATTGTTGCAGTGGACCTTCACTAGAGAGGAGGGGTAGGGGTCAGAGAAGGTTAAATCAGACTGACCTTGAATGAGCAGAAATTTACAAGAAGAAAAGAGTCAGGTAGATCAGACACAGAATTGACACAGTTGAACCAGAATGATTTGTTTTCCAAGGATCTTCAAAATGGTGATTATTCCCTGAAGACTTGATTGCATGACTATTAGGTTAAATAACTTTGCCTTCAAAGTCCATGTCTTCAAAGGGTGATACATTCTATGATTTCATTTTTCTTAATAAAGCTATAATGGGGGGAAAATTAATAAGAGAAAAATAAATAAAGCCGTAATGGTATTTTTCCCTATAGAATTGTCTAGTATATAGGAAATATAAGTAGGTATACCCACTTTGGAGACAATGAAGAAACTTGAGGCATATTCATACAATGGAGTGCTTGCTATACAACAGTATAAATGGCTGACCAGGAACTAGAGTTAATGTGTCAATACGGATGACTCACACACAGAATAAGTGAAGAAAACAAGCTGCAGAAAAATAGACTGCATGATATCATTTATATGAAGTTTTAAATATACAAAATAATTCTGTATCTTTAGGAACAGGTACAAAAAAGGCTAAGAATGATGTGATACAGAATTCACAAATAGCAATTTCCCTCCAGGGACAAGAGGGCCAGAGGTCTGGTTAGGGTGGGATATAAAGAGGACTTCAACTGTATTGATAATTAGGTTTTTCTTAGGCAGGGTGTAGATATTTTATGTGTCTGAAATATTTCATTGCTTAAAAAAAAGCTATTAGAATTTCTCAGTTTCTTCTGATTCAAAAAATGACAGTCTTAGAATATCCAGATCTTGAATTTAGAATTATTTCTTCTTCCCTTCTTCCTAACCCTCAAAGCACTTTACTTTTAGAAATGCACAGTGACTCCTAAGGCAAATGTTTATTAGAAAACAAAATGTTTTCTAACTCTTGTTTTTCAGCTACAAAGATGGCATCGTGGTTATAACTGATATCAGTAAGAAAGGAGAAGTGATTCACAGACTTCGAGGCCACGATGATGAGATCCACTCCATAGCCTGGTGCCCTCTGCCTGGTGAAGATTGTTTATCCATAAATCAAGAGGAAAATTCAGGTAAAGATAATTTACTGGAGGGTTCTGTACTCTTTAGAGCTAAAGAACACATTGGGTAGAATTGTATAACTTGAATTATATTTAAAACTTTGGGTTTTAAACATCAGATCTATGAAAATGATAGCTTAAGTTTCAACAACCTTCGCAAACTAATTTTCTTTGATAAGTGCCTGTTTAGTGCAAATTAAAAAACAAAATTACTATCTCTATCTTAGAAGAACCTGAAATTCCCAATGGAAAAGTTATAGCACAAACTCAAGTAACAAAAGGCTGCTACTTAGCCACTGGAAGCAAAGATCAGACCATTCGAATCTGGAGCTGCTCTAGAGGCCGAGGTAAGATTGATGTTTGTATTTCTTTTCTGATATAACCTTTATTGATCAGGTAAAGGAAGAAGGAGGTTTTTTATTCTGTCTTATACTGAGAGTGCATCATCTGTCAGAGAGCAGTTCTTTACCAGAAAGTTGTTTCCCCAGCTTAGCCTGAGCTAGAACTCTCTATGGTTTTAACATCTGTCTTTGGTATTATAGGTGAGGGTTTCTGATACGTTCACTGTTTGGCATGGAGGATGATGTCCATCATGAGACCGGGAATACTGGAACTTGGCAAGGCCTGGATCAGAGGAATGGCAAAGATCACTAGAGCTTTTAATGCACAAATGCAGAATAATATACACCCAATATAGTAGTCTTCTTTCTCCACTTTACTTAAATCGTAGAAGTTTTGTCATCTTTGTCCAAATGCATTAGTGCATGTAAAGCAAGTAGCACCATTAGGGCTTAGTCAGGGGTAACTAGTAGTATAATTTGGGAAAACAGAATTTTTTAAGGTTTGTGGACAGCTCTTGGACATACTTCGGTTGAGAGCCCCAAGTGGGAACATCAGGCTAAGAATCCCTCCAGAAAGGTAACCTCTAAACTTATGGACAGTGGTCTTCAAATTTACTGAATCAAAATCTCTAGGAGTTAGGCCCTGGCATACTTATTTTTAGAAGTCTTGCCAATGATTATGATATACCATAGGGTCTAAGAACCACTGGTTAGTAGCATGTCAGGAATGGAGGGACTTATTTGCCAATAACATGTTGACTGCTGAGTTTGTCCCCTTTGTTGGATTTCTTGCCAAACAGAAGAAAGAATCCCACCCCCTCTCCTTCTAACTTTGGAGAATCTTCAGTTGTGTTATCACCTGGGTGCTCAAGTCTATTTGGAAACTCACTGTCTAAGACAAGCAATATTCATAATGTGTTTAAGTTGCCAGGAGAGCATGTAAAAGCTTGTTGGACTTAAATTAGTTAACTAGTACAACCACTCTGCAAGATAATGCACCATGAGGAAATGAGGTCTGAATTCTAAGTAACCAAACTAACAAACTTTTAAACCACAAACTGTATAGTAATCCCCACTAATCCGTGGGGGTAGGTTTCAAGACCCCCCAGTGGATGCCTGAAACCATGGATAGTCCCGACTCTACGTGTACTGTTTTTTGCATATGCATACACACGGTAAAGTTCATAAATTAGGCACAGTAAGAGATTAACAATGATAATTTTTTTAAAAAGAAAAACTTTAACAATATACTGTAGTAAATTTTATGTGAATGTAGGCACAGTAAGAGATTAACAATGATAATTTTTTTTTAAAGAAAAATTGTAACTATACTGTAATAAATTTTATGTGAATGGCTTTGGGACCATTACTGAGTAAAATAAGGGTTACTTGAACAGGCACTGGGAGACCATGATAGTGTATCTGGTAACCTAGATGGCTACTAAGTGACTAACAGATGGTTAGCATCTACAGCGTAGTTTGGGACCATTACTAAGTAAAATAAGGGTTACTTGAACAGGCACTGGGAGGCCATGATAGTGTATCTGGTAGCCTAGATGGCTACTAAGTAACTAACATATGGTTAGCATCTACAGCGTAGATACATTGGACAAAGGGATGATTCACATCTTGGGTGGGACAGCAGGACAGCACAAGATTTTACCATGCTACTCAGAACAATGTGCAATTTAAATTTTATGAATTGTTTATTTCTGGAGTTTACCACTTTATATTTTTTGGACTGTGGTTAACTACAGGTAACTGAAATCGTGGCTAAGGGGGGACTACTGTATTGTGAACTGCTAGTGACTTCGTGCATGTAGTTTCACTCTGTTGAGCGCCAGTAGACCTTCTTTTAATGTGCAGGGGTGATGATTTTGAAATTGCCTTTTCTGAAGCGAAGAGGAGGAGGTATTGACCCAACTGTTAAAGAGCGCCTTTGGTTGACACTCCATTGGCCCAAGGATCAGCCAACACAGCTGGTATCTAGCTGTTTTGGGTAAGTCTTTTTTTGGGTCATGTTCTCTGATATATTTTGCTTCCCTCTCTAGTCTCAGGAATTCCTCGGCTGCTTTTTCTAGACACAGAAGATGAAGAAAGGAATAGCTGAGTCATATTATGATGGGCCATTTGTAATGGAAAAGTCATAGGACTAATACCTGTGCTGTCTAGTAACAGTTGTGAAAAGATCAAAGAAGTATAGCCTGGTGGTTAAGAGTGTGGACCCTGAAGTCAGGGAGAACTGAATTTCGGGATCAGTCCATGACTTACCTGCTATGTGTTCATGAGCAAGACCTTCCACTTTTCTGAGTTTCCATTACTGCACATGTAAAAAGGAGAGATTACAGTATTTCCTCTTTCTTAGGATGATTATAGCCATTTATGAAATAGTTTATTGAGCACCAGCTTCTAGTTGCTTGAGATAATACAAGAATTTAACAAACAAGGCCCCTGCTTGTAAATGAGAGAATAACATAAAAATCCCACCAAAATGTTAGTCATGTCCCTAATTCCCCCACTGCCCCAAAATAGAGATGTCTTTAAGCCTCTGGAGCTATGCAAATTGTGGCGTCATTTTCTAATTAAAGCTGTTCGGAAAATCTGTTCAAAAGGTAGTCCAGCAAATTCACTTTGTCCGAAAAGAATGAAAAATAAAGTACCCTTCCATCTCTGATACCTCAAGCTACTTAGTACTCTGCCCCAAAGGCAGTGACTCCTTGTTTTTGGTGTGTTTTCAGAGATATTGTATGCATCATTTAGAATATACTATTTTTCTCTCCTTAAAGGAACAATTAAACAGAAGGTATTTTGCAACTGAGGGCCTAGAGTCTGTGGCCCAGAATCACTTGTTTTCATATTGCCTGTGAAAGAGAACTAATGCCTGTTTTTCCTTCATAGGGGTGAATTGCTACTGTGGGATCTTACTCAGTCTTGGAGACGGAAATATACCCTCTTCAGCGCTTCATCAGAAGGGCAAAATCATTCAAGAATTGTGTTTAATTTATGTCCATTACAAACTGAGGATGACAAACAGCTGCTGCTTTCCACTTCAATGGACAGAGATGTAAGAAGGGCCTGTTTTGCATTCAGCATTGAAGAGCATTGATTTATGACTTAGATGGGATTAGAGGGCTTTTTCAAATCAACTATCAGTTCTCATACCCCACCTTGCCCCCAGTTCCAATTTCGGAGTTACTGTTACTGATTGGCATGAAATACATTAATATCAGAGAGGTAAGGGAAAGGTGAGGAACCACCGGATGCCTTAGTATTTTGCAATTAAGTTAGGCTCATTTGATAGTCATTTTCCCCCAAGCTCCTGTATTAAACAAGTGACTATTAAAAACTTACCACTCCTCTTCTCAGTGTAAGATATTTTGCTTTTTGAGACAGCAGCTCTTCCTTTTCCACTGTCCTGAGGCCATCTTTATTCGTACTTAGAGTCTGCCAAAGGAAGGAGTTACCAATGCAATACAGTAGAGTGGAAAGGGCACTGAACTTAAATAATTGTATGATCCCGAATTCACTTGACATCTGTGGGAATAAATGTACTCTAAGATCCCTGTGAACTCTACAATTGATTACTAATTTTTTTTCCTAAGAGATACTTTTGCCAGTTCCTACTAGATAATTAAATTACATTATCCTTATCCACTCTTTGAGCCTATTCCTATTTGAAATGTCGATTCTTTTTCCTGTTTCTCTGATCTTTTTTATATTTAGGCCCTAACTCTTAATTTTTCCAGGTAAAATGTTGGGACATGACCACCCTGGAGTGCTGCTGGACACTGCCTTCCCTCGGTGGATTTGCTTACAGTCTGGCTTTCTCTCCTGTGGACACAGGCTGTTTGGCCATAGGCGTTGGGGATGGCATGATCCGCATGTGGAATACACTCTCCATAAAGAACAACTATGATGTGAAAAATTTTTGGCAGGGTGTCAAGTCCAAGGTTACAGCGGTAAGGATGCTTTGTTTGAGTCTGCTATGAACTTTTTTCAAATAAGTAATTTTCTTTTACAGAATACCTTTTCACTTAAATGAATTCTGTTGGGAATCACAGGTTGTTCAAGGGTATTTTCGATAAAGTTTGAAGTTAGGAAAACAGAAGGACCTCTCTATCCAAACCCATTATCTCCTAATTCGGAATTTAAAATTAAAACTTTGTTCAGGTCATCATGTTTTCTAATGGTAAGAAATTAGAATAACCTGGATGTGCATTCATGGACAATACATTAAGTTATAACATATTATTAATGCCTTGTTGGAATAGTACCAGACTTTTAAAAATGACAGTGCAAATCTTTATTTGATGTGGAAAGGTATTAATGATTCATAAAGAATGCACATTACAAAACATGGGATACAGATTATAAAACAATTTTGTTTTTCTCCAAAGTGAGACCTCTGTTTGGCCATTTAGTCTAAAAGCAATAAATGTGGTTTAAAAAGAAAACAAAATAGTACAGGCGTGAAGAAAGCAAAAATTTTGTCCTACTCTACCCTCCACTTCATTCCCCGACTCTCACAATGCAGAGAACCACTGTTAACAATTTGTGATGTATCTTTCCAAATTTTGCTAATTATTAATAGAGTCATATTTTCTAAGTTGTTCTGGAATCTTTTATTCCCACTCGGTGGTGTATCATACATATTTAAATGTTTTAACCTGTTTTTTTCCAATGGTATGTATCTTAAGTTTATTCACAAAAAAATGTCTGGAAAGATACAATATTGGCAATGGGATGTTTTGGAAGGTGAGATTTCAGGTACCTTTTACTTTGTGTTTAATGCTTCTTTGTTTCTTTCTTTTAAATAATGAGAATTTGTTATTTTTAAAAGACATCAAGAGCAAGAAAGTTTTCCATTTGAATGCCTGAAGGATAACTTAAGGATTCCCTTAACAGTCTGCCCCCTTCCTCATATTTTTGTAGCTGTGTTGGCACCCAAGCAAGGAAGGCTGCTTAGCTTTTGGAACCGATGACGGAAAAGTGGGACTGTATGACACCTACTCCAACAAGTAAGAAGTCGATGATTCCTATTTAGGCTGTTGACCAAAATGTCAGTGGTGGAGTTAATTTTGGGTTCATAAACCTGGATATGCATCAGAATTGGCCTGGGAAACATCTTTGAGATTCTGGCTCTGAGACTGAGGCTTAGAACTTGGAATTTTATTTTTTAAAAAATTTTTGGGGTGATGGTGGTTGAGCCCATCTGACTTGTGGGAGCCACCAAAATAAACCATTGTGTTTTTTTTCCCTCAGCTTTCTTTTTATGAAAGTTTATAAGTATCCATGATCATTGAAAGCCTAGTACAAAGAACATCTCTGCACCTTCTGTGTAGATTCACCAGTTAACATCTTGCCATACTTCCTTTAACTGTGCACACTTAATAAAGTTAACAGTAATTCCATAATATCATCTAATACCCAGTTATATACAAATTTCGTCAATTGAGACTGCTTTCATATTACCACAGCAGAGTGGACTAGTTCTCACAGAGACCGCATGGCTCAAAAAGCCTGAAGTACTCACTGGCCCTTTACAGGATAAGTTTGCCTACCCTTGTACTGGATCATTCGCTTCTAAGTGAGAATCATTTATTATACCGTGGAGCTAACTTTTTTGCAATTCTTTAAGTACTTATATATAACCTACATGCAATTAACTATTTTTCTCCATTTTTAATTCTCAAAAAAATAAAACAACACTGCCTCAAAGAAGCATTTAAGAAAATAAAACTATATATCCATTTAAATAGCTGTGTCATCACAAAATTGCCTAATTCTATTAAATTAATATCTTCAAGTCATTATAAGCAGATTATTCAAACTAACACTAGAAAAGGTATGTGGTAGGAGGAAGAACATTGCTGTAGTCATTGGTTGAGCATTCATTTGGAACTGCTTATTCTTTTAGTCAAAGAAATTTGGGGTTATTGTCTAGAACGACAATAAAAATGTCAGACACATAGAGTAAATAAGTCACCAGCTAATTCAGTCATAGGTCCTGGAATCCTAGAACTCTAAAATCATACAAAGAATACAGTATACACTAAAAGTAACAACCACATTGCCTTTTACTGACAGATCACATATTATTAATTACCACAGTGACCTTAAGAAATACCCTTGAGACCAGGTTTCTTTTAAAAAAAAAATCAAAAACTTTAAAATCTAGCCACCCTAAAATCTTGTCTTAGTTTAAGAATGCGATGTTAATGACAGGGTAAACCTAAAATGACTTCTAATCTTTTACTTGAATATGGGAAAGACACACTTGCATGCTGATAATATATGCTTAGCAGTAACCATAGTTCTGGGCTGAACAGTTTGCATTTTCTGTCTTGTTCTATTTCTCTCTAGTTGTGATAGCCTTTACACTACTTTATAACTACAGTTATATTAGAATATTTGACTTTTAAGTAAAGTGGGGGAAATGGGTGGGGATGGGGGTGGATAACATTTTTTTTCTGAGTAAAGTGTGTTTGAGACTTGATTCTTTTTGTTAGTAGTATCATTATGTGGTATGTTATTTAAATATTTGCTTCTTTACAATCAGCTATTTGGAGAAGGGTACTATTAAATTGTTTTTCTCTAATATCAGCAACTAGGGACCTTTTAGAAAAAGGTCTTTTTTCCACTGTCTTTTTTTTTTTTAATCTTGCTGTTTATAATCCCCTTTCCCTCCAGACCTCCACAGATTTCTAGCACATATCATAAGAAGACTGTGTACAGTTTAGCCTGGGGGCCACCAATACCCCCCATGTCACTTGGTAAGTGTCTGAGCCATTTTCTAACAAATGTGAGAGGATTCCCCATCTTTCAGTTTAATCCTAGGATATTCAAGGGTCTTAAAGGTTCTAGTGTAGTGACTGTGCAGGCTGCTATGTCCCCAGGAGTCCATGAGGGCAGTTGTGGTGGACGATAAGTAAAAAACCATCTACCCATAACAAGCCTCCCTAAACTCTAAAGCAAACTTAGAATTTCTCAAATGATCTCATTTTGCCTTTGATTGTTTTCTGACCCTTCCTGTCTTCTACTCCTCAGACTTGTCTTTCTCTTATTCCTAAAGTGACAGTTCTTTCAGAATATCTCTTAAAGTGACTATGTTCAGCAAAAGTCTTTGGTAAATCCTTATATAATGAAACATCTTTAAATTTCCATAGTAATTACATTACATAGAGAGGACAGTGTAAATTTTAAGAACTCAACCAGCATAGCAATTGTAGTTCATTCATTCATTCATTCAACAAATGGATCCGTGATTTGTGCCAGGCATAGTTCTAACAGTGGGGAAAATAAAACTTGCCCTTACAGAAAACCACCAGAATTACTGTTTGCTTCTTAAAAATCAACAAGAGGATTGCTGTGACACTAAAGAAATCATTACTTTGAGGACAGCTCCTTATAGTCTGTCATTGGAAGTCCTGCAGCTCCATATATTTAAATGCCCTAAGAGTAGATTCCTCATTTCTGGAAAGAAAAGTAACGTCTCAGAAATTTTGAGAACATATTTTCTAATTCCAGCTTTGACACCCCTACTCTTTTGAATGGCAGAAGAATGTTTAAAACAAATATATTGCATTATAAATATTAATGTAGAATTAGTATGCCTTCACTTTTGCTCCCAACAACTGTGTTTAGATGCAAAGAGTGGTGACTTTATTCCATTGTATTAACATAATTCTTTTCGAACAGCTCATAGTATGATGTGGTCATACTATAGCAACAGAGAGTTAAGCTGATAAGCTTTCTGATAAGCTTTCTTTTCTTATTTCATATAGGAGAAGGAGACAGACCTTCCCTCACTTTATACAGCTGTGGAGGGGAAGGGACTGTCTTACAGCATAACCCCTGGAAGCTTAGTGGCGAGGCCTTTGACGTCAACAAACTCATCAGAGACACCAACTCGATCAAAGTGAGTTCTCATGGTCTCAAGTCTCTTCTCGATCTCTATATCTTCTTGGTTGCCCGTGTTGCATGATAAATACCATTACTGGAGGTATCCATTATGCTCAGTCAAATTTCTTAGATGTTCTTCAAAAACTCAGTGAATTTGTAAATTATAACACCTATTTTAGAAGTCTATCCTTGAGTAAAAGCAAAGAATTTAGCCAAAAAAATGTTTTGTCTCAGTTGCATTGGTGATTTATTATAAACTTTCAAATCTTGGATCTAGAAGATCCTTTTCAAGCCAGCCACTTGCTCCAGAATGAGGCCTTAATAAAAATAACATTATAAGGTGTCCAACTGCAGCTGCAAGGTATTTTGCTCAAGAAAGAATTGTCATTTAAAAAATAAATTAATGAAATAATTACAGATTTACACAAAAGCTGCAAAAATAATACAAATAATTCCCTTAATAATCCTTGACCCAGATTACCAGATTTAATCACATTTGCTTTTCTTATCCTGTCAATCTGTCTGTACACCAGGACTGTCTTTTGAGGTTTCTTTACTCTTTCAAATAAGCATTTTTCATTGTTGCTCATTATTTTTGTGTGGCTAGCATAAAAATAATATTTAATCATAAACTGAATTATTTTACTGACCATTTTACTTCATTGTCTTAAAAGTCATCTGAACATTAACATTCGGCAATGAATAAAAGAGACAAAATTCCTGTTCCTCCTGAGCTTTTTAGTATGGATCAGAAGCTCATACAAGGAGTTTGGGCTGGAAATAGAAACTTGGAATCCGTTTACATGAATGGTAGCTAAAGATGCTGTGAACATGCATGAGATGGTCTAAAGAGACAAGTAAAAAAAGAAAGAGGACAGGAGGCTGCCTTGGGGAACACCAACATATAAAGTTAGGGAAAAAATGATTCTAGAAAAGAAACAGAAGAGATAGAAAGAAAACAAGGACAGTGTGTATGTTTTTTGCTAAGGAGACCATACCCCTGTGTTGTCAGGACCAACAGATACGTTTCATTCTTTATTGTGAGATAAAAATCTTTGTAATGAAGTTCAGTTTACAAGGTTAGGTATTGTAGACATTTAGTATTTACTGGCCTCTCTGTCTCAATTAGGAAATTATCATTAGAATACTTGCTCTTAGTAACTCTTTGGTTAATTATGTAGATTATTTACAAGAATGGCTGTTGTATAATTAGAACATTTCTACACTATGGATTTTTTTCCTCGTGCTGTCATCATTGATTTGTAAGATAAGTGGAGAAAAGAACATTATTTTTAGTCAAGATTGGTTTGTTTTGCTTTCTAGTATAAATTGCCTGTACACACAGAGATCAGCTGGAAAGCAGATGGTAAAATCATGGCTCTTGGCAATGAAGATGGGTATGTGTTTGTTTCTTTAAAAAAAAAAAAAACTTTGTAATTGCACATATATTTGATCACAAGCTGGCTAATGCCATCTGTAATATTAATTGGGGAAGCTCAGTTGTATTTGACAGTCCGATTTATCCTTGATGTCCATGAATGATCCAGGAGCCCTCTGCATCTTTGAGAAATGCAAAATAAGTTGGATATTTTCACTCCAAAGAGAGTATTTGCCTATGGTTTTATGCTTCCCAAAATGCTTATCTCCTGCATTGAACTGCCTAGATCTCCCTTTTTCTTAAAGTAAGCCTTGGTGGAGTCCTCTCTAGGCCCCACCATCCCCTCTCCAGTGTTGATCATAGCAACACAGCCCTAATTCAGCCATTGGCTCATTATTTGTTTAGCTTCTCTCCAGCACCATTTATTACACCCAACTTTCCAGAGATTGTTGGGACTTTTTTAAAGCCAAATATACTTGCTTGAGAGACCACATTTTATACCCAGTTCTTTGTACATGCATGACCTTTGCAGTGATAGATAGAGTTATCCTATTCCATTTCACCTTTCCTTAACTGATGGAATGAAGGAGATACCTGTTTGCATTTGACTGTAAACTGATCATTCATCTTTCTTGTCTTGGTGTGTTTCTGATTCCAGATCTATAGAAATATTTCAGGTTCCCAACTTGAAACTGATCTGTACCATCCAGCAGCATCACAAGCTTGTGAATACCATTAGCTGGCATCATGAGCATGGAAGCCAGCCAGAGCTGAGCTATCTGATAGCCTCGGGGTCCAATAATGCAGTCATTTATGTGCACAACCTGAAGACTGTCATAGGTAACTTCGGTTTCTTCCATACTGGGGGTGCTGTCATGTTCAGTTACTTTCCATTCCAATCTTTGTACCTTTTTACTTTCTTTTTGGTATTAAAATAATTATTTTTTTTCTGCTTTCAAAAGTAATATTCATCTTATTTAAAATAAGACAAAAATTTCAAACATGACAAAAACATTAACTTAGAAAGTGAAGTTCCTCCTGTTATCGCATCCTTTAGTAATAACCAGTGTTATTAGTTTGCTGCATGTTTTCTCTAGATTTTTAAAAGAATGGTTATTGCTAAGTGACTCTCCAGAAAGACTCTTCCAGTTTATACCCACTCCCTGCAGTGTTAGAACATTTTACACACACAACATACATTCCATTCCCATATTTGACTACATCCAATTCTCCCAATCCTGTGAGGTTGGTTTTGTTGTCCTCATCTTCCCCTTGTCTTCTAGAGAGCAACCCTGAATCTCCAGTGACCATTACAGAGCCCTACCGGACCCTTTCAGGACACACAGCCAAGATTACCAGTCTGGCATGGAGCCCACATCATGATGGAAGGCTGGTATCTGCTTCCTATGATGGTACAGCTCAGGTACTGTTGCATTCTGTGGGTTCTTCACCATGTATTCTAACTTAAACTTTCCTCTTTTCCCCCAGTTTTTCCTTCCCTTGCCATTATCTTCTACAGAGGGGATTTTCCTTGCTCTAGAAGGCTTTTTAGTTTTATTCCACATATCTGGGCCCTTGGCAGGCTAAAATTGGAGTTTTTTACTTAGATGAAAAGGAAAGTATTAATAGGAACTAGCTAAATTCTAATCTTGAAGATTTTGTTCTGACCTACTGTCAGTATGATAGACTTATAAATGCATGTGAAAAATACTCATTCCTGTTCAGACACAGAAATGGCTAATAAATCATAAAAATAATTTTTAATAATAGGTAAGGCAGAAATCTCCAAGTTCTAAAAAATAAAGATGAGCTGCCAAGCCAGAACTATGAGGTAGGAGTTTCAGGTATCAGAACCAGAACAGACCTTAGGAACTGAAGGACTAACATCTGTGATTGATGCCTGTGTCAATACTGAGCTGTAAGTGAGCTATTTGCACAAAGCTGAGCCAGGAAAGGCTGCCATCTGTGAAATGGTGACTGGTATAATTCAAGAAACAGCAAGGAAATTGATCAGTTGCCCAGGTAACTGGGAAATCACCAGTGAGAAGTTACAACCCTAAGTATTATGTACCACACATACAGGTGTGGGCTGAGTTAGAATTCTCTTCATGATATCAGCATCCCCAGCCAAAAAATAACACAGTACTGGTTCAGGACAGTGAAATCTATAGGGCACCATTAGAAGCTCACTCAAAATCATCCCCACAGGAAATAGCATTCTCTAAAATTGAACTCCTAAGAGAAAATTATAAATTACAAGAGGAAATAAACATACATAGATTTTAAAAATAATTTTTTTAACTTATGCCCCCAAAACAATAAACAGAAATTGGCTATTCTGTCACGTGACTTTTGGTTTTAGGTGTGGGATACTCTCCGGGAAGAGCCTCTATGCAATTTCCGAGGACATCGAGGTCGATTGCTCTGTGTGGTGTGGTCCCCCTTGGATCCAGACTGCATCTACTCAGGGGCTGATGACTTCTGTGTGTACAAATGGCTCACTTCCATGCAAGAACATTCCCGGCCTCCTCAAGGTCAGTCAGAACTTGGAGCCCATATATGCTTGCCTACTCCTCTCTCTTTCTTCCTCAGCAACTGAGTTGATCAGGGTTAAGCAAGGAGGACATTCATGCAGGGCAGCCATGACAGAATGGTAGGGGTTTGGAGCATACGCAAGGAAGGCAGACATAATGGGCCCGAGGACAACACCCAAATAGTAACAAGTATACCTTGCACCCAGATCTTGATTTCTAAATACCATTCTCTTAAAAGAAACCATCCAGGGCTTCTTTGAGAAATAGCTAATTCCAGGTTGGGACAGGAAAAATATTAAGATGAGCCTAGAACATCCTCCTATGCTGTAGAGGAAGAAAATGCTTAAAGAACTAAGCTACTAAAAAGGACAAAGAAGCCAATTTGAAGGGGCTCCACTGACCAAGTCTAGGACAATTTGAACTTAAAATAATTAACAGGAAAATTCTATTTCTGGCTGCAAAAGACTGATACCAGGCTTGCCCACCCACCATAAATAGCGAGATAACTAGACAGTATATTAAACAACTGGAAATGTGCCCAAAGAAATGAAATGATATATTCATATAAATACCTGTAAAAGAATGCTTATAGCAGCTTTATCTCTAATCACCACAAACTAGAAACCACCCAAAAATCCATCAGCTGGTAAATAAACTTTGGTATATCCTTACAGAGGAATTTTACTCAGCAATAAAAACTACTGATAAAAACAAAAGCGCAAAACGAATGAACTTTAAAAAACGTCACGCTGAGCAAAAGAAGCTAGCACAAAAGACAAGATACAGTATAATTCTAATATACAGTTATGAAATATATATGAAATTTGAACACAGGCAAAAGTAAACTACAGTGACAGCAAAGCAGTGATTCCCAAGGGCTCAAGAAGGGGGTACATTTTACTCTAGAGGCATGAAGGGACATTATCAGGTGGTGGGTTACATGAGTATATACCTGTCAGAACTCATCAGAGTTTTAAAAAGTGGGTATATTTTACTGTATTAAATTATACCTCAAAGATGATTCTAAAAAGCAAAGGAAAAACTTTAAAAAAGTAAGTAACAATTTTATTAAATAACACATAAAATAGTAATTCATGAGTCCATACTGATAAAAATAAATGAATGTCTAAATAAGTGTGCAAAGCAAAAGCTCTTCTTTTCAGTAGAATGACAATAAGTGTAGAATGGATGATGGAATTTGAAAATTACCATTCAGCAGTCATCAAAGTCACAATTTTTAGTTAAGAAACATCAATGGATACTAAAACTAATGGATGCAAATACTTAGTAATTACGCAGGGAAAAGTTTTTTCAGGGAGAAACCTGCAAGACACCCCTTTAATCAAGTGATCAAAGCAAACCACCGCATAATGAAAAAAATTACATACTGCCTCATAGGTTGCACTGAGATGAACACAGCATCACTTCTTTAAATTCCAGCTGAAAATGGATAACCTTAATCCAACCATGAAAACACCAGGCAGGCCCAATTAGAGAAATTCAACAAAATAAACCCTGGAATCTTCAAAGTTTCAAGTCATGAAATCAAAGGAAAACTGTGCCTACTCCAGGCTGAAGGAAACTAGAGACAGAATAAGCAAGTGCAATGTGTGATTCCTTTTGCTGAAAGAAATATTCTTGGTAAAAATGACAACTTGAATGAAGTATGTGGAGTAGTGATGTATCAGTGTTTATTTCCTGCTTTTAATTGCTATGCTGTGATGATGTAGGAGCATGTCCTTGTTTGCAGGACATACACTATCCAGGGGTAATTGGGCATGGTATGTATGAGATCTCAAAGAGTCTGGTTTTGTTCGGTTGACATTTTCATAACTAAAGACTCATTGTGAAGGAAGGGAAAGCGTCAGAATGCTAGCCAAACAAAGAATAACAAGAGTTTGGAGATCATCTCCTAGAGTGCTTTTAACCAAAAATACATATTTTAGTTTATCCTTTTTTTCACCATGATTCCTACAGGCAAGAAAAGTATTGAATTAGAGAAAAAAAGGCTGTCTCAGCCTAAGCCAAAGCCCAAAAAGAAGAAAAAGCCCACCTTGAGAATGCCCGTAAAGCAGGAACTGTACGATGGGAATGAAGAGGAGAGTGTAAGGGAGAGCACGGGACCTGTTGAGAACGGTGGCGTGTCCGACCAGGAGGGAGAAGAGGAAGCCCGGGAGCCAGACTTACCCTGTGGTGTCACCTCAGCAGGTATGTGCCTGAGTCCTGTGTCACTAACTCTCTAGGATTAAATAGCCCTGACCAGGAAACTAAGGCAGGTCTTCATTCAGTCCGAAACTTCTCCGCCTCTGACCTACTTGATTGCCCAACTCCTTAACTTAGATGGTATTTTTGGTGCCCTTGAGAACTACCATAGTTTTTTAAAGGGTTCTTCAAGCCTTTAAAAAGTATCTAGTGGATGACTGGGATGGAAATTGTGAAGTTCTATAGGGAAAACTTATCAGTTTGGACAAGGTAAGCCTGTGGGACAAAGCGAAGCTAAGGAATATATACACAGAAATTTACATGGGAAAAATTTTAACAGTTTGACATCATCCACGTTTATTGAAAGAAACCACTGTCCCTTTCAAATGTCTGACCTAGAAGCTAACCACCACTCTGCAAACTTGCAAGTTTTCACCCTTCCTACTTAGATTTGTACCTGTTTTTGTTTTTTGGTTTGTTGTTTTTTTTTCTGAAAAACATTTATGAATGATAATTACGTTCTTCCATTCTGTTAAGCTATAGTGATAGTTCTCAGATTTCTCACAAAACTGTTTTTCAGGTTTCTATCACTAATTTCTAATAAAGCAGTCTTTCTAGTTTAGAGAGAAAAAAAAGGGCACTGGATAAAATTAGCACTTTAATTTTTTTATGTATTTACCTTAAAGCTCTGATGCTTCTTACCTGTTAAAATGAATGACTAAATAGCACACAATATAAATGAGGCAGTGACTCATGTTTAATTCTAAAACAATATTTCGATGTGACAGAATTAAAGCGGCCAAAATATATGGTACAGAGTCATCCCTGACCCTCTCCATACTAAGGGGTGGCCACTGGACCTATAGTTTCGGTAAAGAGCTAAAAGTTTAATGTATTTATTTTTTATGCTCATCAAAATACCTTTTTTATCACGAAATGGCTGCACAAAATGTCCTTTACCCCTGTAGATTAACAGCTTGGTCTTTTTGTTGTTTTTTTTTTTAAGTTCATGGTTTTGTATACTCAAAATTGTGATTTCAATCTTTTATCCTAGTAAAGTTGTTCCTTGTTTGTGTAATTAAATATGCAATTAGTACTTTGTCATATAAATATGCAAAAGTCCTTTGTAACCTGAGCAAAGTTTGGGAACTCCTGGGCCTATGGTATAAAGTTTGGAGGCTAGAAGCTCATAACTGTTCTTTAGATCAATTAGTCAAGGTTATAAGCAATAAACCTACAGAATCCTGGAACAGTTTGTGATGTGAGAAGAGGAGACAACCTATGCTTCCTTTCCAAAGTATTTTAGCTCATATTTTGAGTAATAGATAAAATCATACCTGGTATAGTTCTTAATTTTTTAAAAGAACTAGATTCTACATTGCTCTTATCCAAATTTTTTTCTTTCCCCCCTCTGATGTAGTTTCTAGAGAACCAGTTATCTGCCCTCCAGTTTCCTTAGGCTTTGAAAAGCCAAAAGTCACCATTAATAATAAAGTCACTTTACTGAAAAAGGAGCCACCTAAAGAGAAGCCAGGTTGGTATCTAATAATTAAAATTTGTTGTTAAAGCATCCTCAAATGTTACATGCAACTGAAAACTCAAAGGTGTGTGTAAGTTTTAAATATTTCTATGTTTTGATTATGTCTCAATTTTGGGTCATGCTTTTTTAAACATTTCTTTGGATTCGATGAAGGATCATTTTGCAGTTGATATTGATTCACAAGTGTTCACAGGGACATGTTTGTGTGCATTGTGAACAATGCCTCCAGCTAATTTAATTTGAAAGCTTCTTTATAAGAGTAAGAACTTTCTATGCCCAGCAGTATCCCTCCTCTAGTAGGTCACATTCACACAGTGGGCATTCAGTTTTGTGTTTCTGATCGCTGTTCTTCAGACAGTCTGTACTACTATTGCATTTCAGAAGCCTTAGTCAAGAAGCGAAAAGCCCGTTCCATGCTTCCGCTGAGTACGAGCCTGGACCACAGGTCCAAAGAGGAGCTTCATCAGGACTGTTTGGTACTAGCAACTGCAAAACACTCCAGAGGTACAAAAATACACTTCCTTGGCCCATCCGTCATCTTCTGGGAACTGGCACACAAGAAGTATTTGTTTATTTGTTAACTGAATGAACAAATACCAAAATTGTTTGTATTTCTGCATTGTTTTCCAACCTTTCCTTTCCCACACCCCGCTGTCGAACTCCCCATCCTGACCTCTCAGCACTCTTCAGTGCCTTCGAGATGTAATACTCTGCTTTTATTGTTATAAATCGAGTTGTTACCAGCCATCTGTGTGCTGGAATTGGTATGATGGCTTAAATATCTTAGCATGAATCAATAGTATCTTCATGTAGGAAAAACAATTATTTGCTTATTAGAGGTATACCGTAATATGGCACTTCCTTTAAAAAAAATGTAATGGAAGTTTTTGTTTACAGGTTTTTTGGTTTTAAATTTTCAAAGCCCTCATATGATGTCTGTTTTTTTAATTTTGAATTTTACATGTTGAAAAAGAATGCACATGATAAAATGAAATTCAAACAGTATAAAAAGAAAGTAAATCTCTCTCCCACCCCTTACACCCACTCCTCCATTTCTCCCCCAAGGCCACACTATTATCAGGTTCCTTGTCTTTCTCCAGAGATATTTTATGCTCTTATATGCATAGCTCTCTTTTTGGAACTTTATGATGATTTCCTATAACTTATACAATTAACCATATAGTTTTACATTATCTCCCTTGTTGGAAAATTACTCAGTTGACTTTTTTGAAAACAAGAGAACGAATTCCACCCTTTGTGGTGGAACGAATATTGAATTTCTTTTTTACTGCATTTAAATACATGTTAAATTTTGAGTTGGCTTTTATATTCCTTTTTTTCCCAAAAAATCTTTTTTTGAGCAAACTATAAACTAAATTGTCTCACTGGGTTGGCCAAGGCTAAGCTTAACAAACTGGAAGTATTTTCAGATTTTTGCTCCCTTTGCAACCAGCAGGGGTCTCAGTTAGGGTGAACAAGGGCCGAGCACTCCTTCTCAGTGTCTGAAATTGGTGTTCTGGGCATAACATTTTGGAAGTAATTGGACAGAAAACTAACCTATGTAATCACTTCTGGTTTTTTGTCTTTTTGAATTAGCAGAGCTAAATGAGGATGTGTCTGCTGATCTTGAGGAAAGATTTCACCTGGGGCTTTTCACAGACAGGGCTACACTGTACAGAATGATTGAGGTCGAAGGTAAGGCAACTCCAGTCAATACAATCTCCTCCATCTTTATACTCCTTTAAGGCTTTGTAGGGACCTCTTATGGCTGCCATCCTGTGGCATCTTAATGGTTAGTTTTCCATGTCAGCTAAGTAGGTTTTGAGCTCCCCAATGTGTATACTCACACATACCCCTTGCATCTGTCATAAGACCCTAAACATACAGTGTTCACTCTGAGTGAGTGACAGGGTGAAAGTGAGTGAACAAGTGACTGAGTGAGCTTCCGGCCCCATTATGAACACTCTGGGAGGTGACTCACCCATCAGCATGTGACTATGAATTTGACAGATTTGTTCTTCTCTTTCATCTTGCCTTTCTTTTTCTTGAAGTCAGTGCAAGCGGATGTTTCTGAAACTTCTTCCAAACATTATCTCTCCTCCAAACAGGAAAAGGTCACTTGGAAAATGGCCATCCTGAGTTATTTCATCAGCTCATGCTTTGGAAAGGAGATCTAAAAGGTGTTCTCCAGAGTGCAGCAGAAAGAGGGGAGCTGACAGACAATCTCGTGGCTATGGCTCCAGTCGGTATGTTCTTTTCAACTAAAACTCTGTCATCTCTAGGATACGTCCACTAAAGATGGACATTGTCTTGAAAGACAATTTGGCTATATCTAATAATTAAATTTAAAATGCATACCCTCAGCCATTCTAATTGTAGGAATTTAACTGTACTCACACATGCAAAATGACATATACATGGGCTGTCATTGCAGCAGTGTTTATTATAGCAAAAGACTGCAACGACCTCTGTGTCCATCAATAAGAGACTGGTTAACTCTTGTACATCTGTACAGCAGAAACTCCTACAAACACCAAAAGAATGAGGCAGCTCTGTGCATTCTGACATGGAATGGAACTTCAAAATATAGTGAGTGAAAAGAATCAAAGTATAGATGCACAACAGAACATTTAGTACTCTATCATTTATATTTACACATGTGGGTATATATCCATAGACTATTTCTGAAGGCTTCAATAGAAACTAGTAATAACAGTTGTCTCCAGGGAAAGGAATTTGGACGTTTTATGCCATGCCCAGTCTTTTAGCTTTTTATTCAAGTATGCTATATAGATATATATAGAGAGAGAAAAGTACACAGGTCATGAGTTACCACAGATTTCACAAACTGGCTACACCCTTGTAACCAGCACCCTGGCAGCTTCTCCCATGCTCCCTTCAGTCAGTATTCACATACCCCAACAAGGGTGACTACTATCCTGACTTCCATACTTTTTTGTACCTCTTGAAGTTTGTATGTATTGCATAATCAAAGAAACAATTTCTGTTTCAAAATGTAGATGTGAGGAGAGGTAGGTGAAGCAGATGATCCATAATGGCAATTGAATTAGTATCTAAATTTGCTATTTACTACTAATGACTAAAAGGCATTTCAACCCAAATGTACATATGTACATTTTTTTTCCCCTAAAACCTGCTTATTTAACCACCACTTTTTTTTCTTTCTTTTTTTTTAAGCTGGTTACCATGTGTGGCTATGGGCTGTAGAAGCTTTTGCCAAACAGTTGTGTTTTCAGGATCAGTACGTCAAGGCTGCCTCTCACCTACTTTCTATCCACAAAGTATATGAAGCTGTGGAGCTGCTCAAGTCAAACCATTTCTACAGGTCTGTATAACCCTACTGTTGAAGCAATAGTTGGAAATAATGTGAAATTAATCTACTTAACAGCTCTGATTCCTGATAACTAGCATAAAACTATTATTGTAATTAAACATTTGAAACAGAAATATATGTATATAGCTTAACAGACATCAATGCACCTACCACCTATACTTAACAAATGTTAATTCTTAACAATATAAGCCACTGATCTTTTCTTAAACTTTACTTTTGTAAACTTCTTTACTATTTGTGCTACTTGAACACAAATAGAGAAGACAGCATAAGACAAATGAACAGCTTAATGAATTAAGAGGAACTCCCTGTTTAAGTCCCACATATGAAGTGACAGAATTTTACCAGCCACCCCAAAAGCTTTCCATGTGCCCCGAGTTATTTGTTTTAAGTATAATGTTCCAGATTTAGGTGAATTACCTTTCCCCAATTCTCTCCTCACCCCTTTTTTAGAAATAAACACTCCTGAAATTGGTACGAATCCTTCCAATCCAAGTTAGTATTCTTTAACTACAATACAGTCATATGCCGCTTAATGATGGGGATACATTCTGAGAAATGCATCATTAGGTGATTTTGTAGTTGTGGGAACATCTGAGTGCACTTACACAAACCTAGATGGCATAGCCTACTACACACCTGGCTGTATGGTATAGCTCAAAATCAAGCACAAGAGAAAATGATGCAGTCAAGAAACAAGGTAAACACCAGATGCATGAGGCCGCAGGTGTAACATGGCATACTGTTTATAAGTAAAAGAGTATTCTAAATTAATAATAAAAAGCATAGTATAGCAAATACATAAACCAGGAACATCATCATTTCTCATTACTAATAATGATATCATTACTATCATTATGTACAGTACATAATTGTATTTGCTATACTTTTATACAACAGGAAGCACAGGTTTATATCAGCATCACCACAAATGGGAGTAATACACTGCACTATGACATTACAGTGGCTATGTCACTAGGCAATAGGAATTTTTCAGCCCCATTATAAACATACGGGACCACTGCTATATATGCAGCCCATCATTGACTGAAACATCATTATGTGGCATATGGCTGTACATATGTAAGTACCAACAAACAAAAGAAGCAAAGTATTTCCTGTAAACCACATATAGTTAGATCTTGTTTTTTATCGTCTCTTAGTCTCTGCCTTTTAAATGGAATGTTTAGACCATTTACATTTAATGTAAATATTGGTATGATTGATTTAAATCTACCATCTTGCTATTTGTCCTATCTGTTATTTATTCATTTCTTCTTTTCCTGCTTTCTTTTGGATCAACTGAATTTTTTTTAAATCTCCAGTAGTGGCTAATTAGCTATACTCCTTTTTTGAAATGTTTACTTTATGATGAGCATTGTTAATTTATCAGTTTACCTTCAAATAATATTGTATCACTTCTTGTATACATCATACTTCTTTTCTTCCTCCTATCCTTTCTACTATTGAAAAGTTTTTTAAATCATTTTTAAACTTTTAAAATATTTTCCCACATACTTATTAATAGCACTTTTCATTCTCATATGTAGATCCAAGTTTCCAGGTGCTATCAATTCCTTCTTCACCTAAAAAACTTCAACATTTTTTCTGTGCTGTGGTTCTGCCGGTGACACATTCCATCAACTTTTGTCTGTCTTTAAAAATCTTTAATTTTGTCTTCATTTAAAAGTTCTTTCACTGGATGTTGACTTCTAGATTGGCAGTTTTGTCTTTTAAAGATGTCATTGTTTTCTTTTGGCTTGCATTGTTTTTGTCTTGACTCTACTGCATTTTTTTTTTTAATTAAATTTATTGAAGTAACATTGGTTAATAATGTTATATGAATTTTGGTGCACAACTTTTTAATACAACATCTGTATACTCCATTGTGTGCTCACCACCCAGAGTCTAGTTTCCTTCCATCACCATATGTTTGACCCCCTTTGCCGTAACTCTGTCCTCCCCTTATCTTTGTTACATAGGAATTATGCCTTTTTCTCTAACTGTTTTCAGGTATTTCTCCATCACTGATTTTCAGCCACTTGATATTATGGCTTTGGTGAGATTTCTTTTGGTTTATCCTCTTTTGGTTTGTCTTTAAAGTGTTGGACTCTGTTTTGGCAAACCAGTAAAATTGCTTGTGGATCGGCTTGATCTTTTCATGGCTTATTTCTAAGCTTACTTAGGGGCAGGTTTAGAGAAATCCTTACTAGTTTGCCCTCCTACCTTCTGGTACCTACTGAATGCCTTCTATGTTCAACAAATCAGAACTTACATGTCTGGCTGGTCAAAATTCAAAAGTCCCCAGGCTCAGTGAGCTCTGGGAATTACTCAGCTTACAATTCCCCGACTGTTCTTCATCCAGCCTTAAGGAGTTTCCTGCACATGCCTGGCTTTCTGTTTAGCCAAAGACTCAGTGGGATCCCTACAAAGAGCTCCGGGGCTCTTTCTCTGGATAGTTCTTCCTTTCTACCATCCCCTCAAATTCCAGTTGCTTCATCTGTCCTCAACTCAGAGAGACTGCTGAAGCTCTACTGGGGTTCCCCGTGGGAAAATGGCTTTAGAAAGGCTATGGTCATGCTCACATCATTGATCCTTTCTGTCTGGGGTGACACTCCTTTGCGGCCTGATGCCAATTGTCTGAAAATAGTTGTTTCATACGTATTTTGTCCAGTTTTTTAGTCTCATGGCAGGAGGGTCAGTCTGGTCCCTGTTACTCCATCATGGCTAGAAGTTGAGATCTCAAAATACTTCTTAAATATTGCTGTCTAGATCACTTTAATCTAAAACACCTGCAACTCAGAAGTTTTATATCTTTTGGTAGTTTTCTGTGAAGTAACAGGCTTACTTTGTTCATTTTTGAGAAAACATTCTGCCAAATCCCCAGCACTAAATAACTATTGTTTGGTAGTCATTCTTTCAAGAAATAATTAGATTCCATGAAAAAAGCATCTCGTTCAGCTTACAATTTGTTCATATAAGTTTTTCTTAGAGTAAACCATCATAATTTGGAATGCAGCAAAGAATATAAAATAGCTCTCCCATTTTGTCACACAAAATATTAAAAAGGCATGGACTTAGGTATTTAATAAAATTAGTCATTTTTACTGCTTTATCGAGGACATTTACCTTTTTTTTCCAACTACAAGGGCCACTACCTTGATTCTCGCTCAGATGCCAGTAGTTACCCACCATTGCTTTTGCACAGTCAGTGCAAATGTCAACACAGAGAAAAAAGGCAATAACCTCTTAGCATTGTTATGACAATGGTTTTTGATATCATGAACCCCCTGAAAGGGCCTTGGGGACCCCTGGGAATTCATAGACCACACTTTAAGAACTGCTGGCCTGGGTGAAGAATTGATCACAGCATGTAGTTTTAACTTCCCCTTTATGCAGGAATACAGTTTTTCATAAGTTGGAACAACACAGAAGGGACAGTTTGTCCTATCTTGCAGCCCCTCCTCGAGCCCCTTACAGAGAAGCCTTTTCAAATCAGCCAACTATCTGTTCTCACCTCTAGGGAGGCTGTTGTGGTCGCCAAGGCCCGGCTGCGCCCAGAGGACCCGATCCTAAAGGACCTGTACCTCAGCTGGGGAGCCGTCCTTGAAAAAGATGGCCATTATGCTGTAGCCGCTAAATGGTAAGCCGCTAAATGTCTCCTCAGGGAGACAGGAGTGCACCCAAACAGAGAAGAGCTAAGACACAGAAGAGCAGGATGAGAATAAGAGATCAGCTTAGAGGTGGAGGTAGAGTCATAGAGAGATAAAGTCCTATGTGTATTAAACCTAGCTTTGTAAGACCCATCAAGATCTACCTCCTTGGGTACACCTGAAACTCATATAATACTATATGTCAACTGTAACTGAAAATTTAAAAATTATTTTTTAAAAAATCTACCTCCTTGGTATTTATATATCACCATAACTGTTCAAGAAACTTCAGCAGCAGTAAGAAATTACATCTTTTTCTAGGGATGTCTTGCACCATCAAATAAAGAAAATAAGAAAGTGACTCCTTTGCTAGGGTTCAGTTCAGCAAGTGTTGAGGTTCCTTTATATCCTTAACCCATATGATGCTGTCTCCTGTTCTCTGTGCTGCGCTGTCCTCAGCCTTCACAAGAATAGTGGAGGCAGTGACATACCTGGGACCACAGGAAGGCACATACAAGGCAGAGCAAAGCTGACAGATTCAACCCTCTGGGGAGCAGGAGTAGGAGATCTGCTTATGACACTTTGAGTTTTCTTTTGTATTGTAGCTATTTAGGCGCTGGTTCCGCTTATGATGCAGCCAAAGTTTTGGCCAAAAAAGGGGATGCAGCATCACTTAAAACAGCCGCAGAGTTGGCTTCAATCGTGGGAGAGGATGAGTTGTCTGCTTCCCTGGCTCTCAGATGTGCCCAAGAGCTGCTTCTGGCCAGGAACTGGGTGGGCGCCCAGGAAGCTCTGCAGCTCCATGAAAGTCTGAAGGTCAGTCTGTTACTGCATCTCCTGATACTTAAAAAGGAAGAGCCCTAAAGCCTTTTTTTGTCAGAACTCAAAGTGAATAACCCAGTCGCACAAGCTGTACCAATTTGGCAGGTATCCTTAGAGGTGTTGAGCAAGGCTTGATCATACTGCCCCACTGAAGTTCCATGGCTCGTCAGCTGCCATGTGCAGAGTAAGAGATAATGTGGTCATTGACATTAACTCCCATGCAGAGACTTTTGTCAGCTCAGCCCCTGGGCTGCCAGTCTGTTGTTTCTTCGTTAATGTCATCAGCACATCAATGAAGGGGAGAGGGTCTTTGAAGGAGAGGGATTGGCCTTCAAACAGAAATCATGTCTGTAGCACTCCTCGTTGGCTGTATGCCATAAAGAAGTGTGGTAAAATTGAAAGGTTTTGTTAAATGTTTTGTTCCCATCTGATTAAAAATGAGAAACTTACCACTGCCTTTTTTTAATACATCAAAGTTGAGCTTACTTTAAAAGCATCAGCACTCGCACCTAGTTTCCAAAATTAAACATAAACATTTGGTTTATTTTAAATGACTTTGCTTGTTAGATACTAACGTGAACTTTTTCAGTGACCCTTTTCTGTTCCTCTTTCTCTCATAAAGTAACTGGGCCTAAAGATTTTCAAGCTCAAGAAAAATGCTAGGTGAGGAGATAGCTTTCTGGGAACTACAAAATGAAAATGGAGGCAAAAGTGATATATACCCTCAGAGATAGTAAATTATTAAAATAACCAAATCTGGAGAGATTTTAATTTATCCATAACAAAAAAGTTTCCAGAATGGTTATTCAGCATTTCTTTTCTTGTTTTCCTCCTGAACAGCATCCTTAACAAAGGAAGAAAACCTATTAGTTTATGCTAAATATTGTTCTGAGGAGGACTGTTGTGGCTGTATAGAATAGAGACCTTCCCGAGCTTAACTGAGAAAATAGTATTATGGGAGTACACAAAGAATCTCATGGTAACTGAAAAGCCAGCAAAAATAAAAGTTTTTCCAGGCCTCTCTCTGTGCTTCTCTTCTCTTCCAGCTCACTCTGTGTTAAACCTACTTGGACGTGATCCCTAACCACTGCCCCAGCTCAGATCTACACAGCTATCTACTCCAGCACCTTCTGTGTATTAGGCTTTTCTCTGTAATCCTTAATCTGAACTTTAGGCAGGAGGAAAGAACTGGATGAGCTCAACCCATTTTTTTCTCAAACTGGGCCACAAGTCTTAGGTAGCTAGCTGGGTTGTATCTGGCTTACACTGCAGTTGGTAGGGCTATAGTTGGGGTTCCATGTTATAAAAAAAGTTTGCTTGGACTCTAAAGGCTATGGATAGGAATTCCCCCAAAAAGAATTCAGAAAAATTGTCTCTTAGATCACGATCTCTTTTCCCTTTCACCCATGACTCACATTGGGCAGGCAGCCTACTAAGGGGGTTTAGCTGCTACAGACATAAAGGGGGATTCTGTGAGACACTGAGGACCGTCTAGATAATCAAGCACTTTCCCTAACAGCTCCTGTCCTTTGTGGTTGGGTTCCAGGGTCAGAGACTGGTGTTTTGCCTTCTTGAGCTACTGTCCAGGCACCTGGAGGAGAGGCAGCTGCCAGAGGGCAAAAGCTCCTCTTCTTACAACGCCTGGTCCACGGGCACGGAAGGGCCCCTCGTGGAGAGGGTCACTGCAATATGGAAGAGCGCCTTCAGCCTGGACACCCCAGAGCACTATCAGGCAGCATTTCAGCAGCTGCAGAAGATCAAGTACCCATCTGCTACAAATAACACTCCCTCCAAACAGGTACCCCGCCTGCATGAGCTTTTGATTTTAATCACTCAGTTATAACACTTCCTCAGTCCATATCTCGTATAATAAGGAAGCAAGTCCAGTGCTAGTTTTCACCTCAGAAAAGACTATGGCAAGCCCAGGCAACCTGGAAAGATCCCTTCAGACTAACCGAAGCCCTTCAGCTTTGAAGTTAGATTTAGATCAGCATCCCCTTATAAAAGAAAAAAAAAAAGTCTAAAAATATAGAAAAGCCCAGAAAGTAATATAAGTAGCCATCAACCAGAATTAACAGATGTTCACATTTTGTTATTTTTGCTTCATAGAATTTTTTTAATTTTGTTTTGTATTTTCTTTTGTTTTTCGGTAAAAGAAATATAATCCAGTTGAAGTCTCTCATGTGCCCTTAGTCCTATCCCCCTTCCCTAGTGCATTAAAGGTGGCCCCTGTCACACCACATGTATTATTTTATAATGTGCTTATTTCAGCAACCATTGTAAAATCTATACACATTGATGCAGACATCAAGTTGATTTATTATAACTAATCTACTTATCCTATGGATACATCTCAGTTTATCTACTTTCTCTTTTGAAAATGAAGGAACATTATTATTGAGGAACAAGACTTTCTCAAATGGTATAACACTTTGGAAAACAGTTTGATACTTTCTTATAAAGATAAACATTCATGTGCCCGATGACCCAGCAATCCCACTGCCTAGATATTTCATTAAAGCAAATAAAATCAAGTGTCCACACAGACTTGTACAAAATATTAACGACGGCTTAGTGCACAAATAGCCAAAAACTAAAAACAACCCAAATGTCTGTCAGCATGTGCAAACTGTGGCATAACCATACAGTGGAATACTAACTATGCAGCAACAAAAAGGAACAAATTACTGATGCACAGAAATATTAGTGAATCTCAGCATCATTATAAATGAAAGAACCAAGTCACAAAAGACTACATACTCTACAGTTCCACTTATATGAATTCTAGAAAAGACAAAATTATAGTGGCAAAAACCAGATCAGTGGTTGGCAGGAGCTGGGGAGACAGGAGTGTGACTGCAAAGGGGCACAGCAGAATATTTTACAATTAAAATGTTCTGTGTCTCAATTTTTAGTTGTAGTTATAGCACATATAACTGTATAGGTATATATTTACCAAAACATCAAATTGCTCACTTAAAATTGATGAATTTTCTTAATTATACTCCAGGTTTGCTTGTTTTTTGAAATTACAGCTTTTAGTTTCAGAAACTCACTCTCTGTTTTAATTAAATGCACATATCAATGCATTTTCTTGGCATGCGCAGACTTTTAACACCAGTGTTACGTTGCCGTGCAACTAGACATACAAGTCTGGGATGGGGAAGCAAAAATGGGTAGTGGAAGGAGGACCTTTCTGAAATGTGGACTGTGTGTACTCCTTTCCAAGTGCAGTTAGTAAGAACATGTCTCATGTCATCCTAGTGCTTTCTGTAGGAGGATGTTTAACTGAGACTCTGGTTTCTCCCTTCAGCTCTTGCTTCACATTTGCCATGACCTGACCTTGGCGGTGCTGAGCCAGCAGGTGGCCTCCTGGGACCAGGCTGTGGAAGCACTGCTTCGGGCTGTGGTCAGGAGCTACGACTCAGGGAACTTCACCATCATGCAGGAAGTGCACTCAGCCTTTCTTCCTGAGGGTAAATGAGCCCCAACAGTAACGGGGTGGCACTGGGAGTGCATAGGTTATTGAAAGACAGAGATTGGCCAGTTGTGTCATTTAGTAGAAAGTTTGAATTCTCTTACCTATGCTCCTAAGAGGTAGCCGGAATGACTGAGCTGTTTTCCTTTACCTGGCCCTAGCTTCCTTACTGCCCCTACTTACTTTCTTACACACAGTTTAAGAGAAGGAGACATAGCATTGTACTCACAAGTCAGTGAGAATAGAGAAGCACAGCGAAAAGATAGACATTCCTCAGCTTCATAATTAGTCATTGAACTAAATCATTGTGATTTTTCAGGCACAGCCGAATCCCCAGAGCCTTCAGTAGGACAGACTGAATACTTTTTCTGTCATGCTTTGAATGACTTGTAGCATATAGCAACAAGAACATTGTCCTAAGCCAGGAAAATGTTTGGTTGTTGGTTTCCTTTTGGAGGAAGACGTGTGGTCCCATGGATCACTGCTGTCCTTTTTCTTGGAATCTGCCTTTCAGCTGATAGGAAACAACGTGCAGGCAGGAAGCCAGATTTCTGGCAGATAAAGAAATGCACAACCTAAATCCTTTTTTTCTCCTAGGCTGTGACCACTTAAGAGACAAAATGGGTGACCATCAGTCCTCTGCAACACCAGCTTTCAAAAGTTTGGAGGCCTTTTTTATTTATGGACATCTGTATGAATTCTGGTGGTCTCTCTCCACGCCTTGCCCCAAATCCAGTGTCTGGGTAAGGGCTGCTCACAGAAGGACAACCTCTGTTGAGCAAAGCCAGCAGTTGGACGATGCCAGCTCTGAAGAAATAGACCCACAAGCTTCTCAGCCAGAGCCAACCAGGCCTCCAGAACTAGACATGAGACTCACGGAAGAGAGTGAACGAATGCTGAACATTTGTAAGAAGCTCTTTTCAGAACAGCACGCCTGTCTCCAGAACTCACAGAGAACCGTTGCTGAAGTTCAGGAGACCTTAGCAGAAATGATCCGCCAACACCAAAAGAGTCAACTCTGTAAACCCACTGTGAATGGTTTTGATAAGAATGACCCTGAACAGGAAGCAGAACAGTCCCTGTGTAATCCTCAGAGCCAGTGGTAAGTACTAAATCAATACAAGATGGAATTAAAAATACCCTGCTGAATTCTCATATAATCAGATAAAAAAAATCTGTACATGATGAGACTGATCAAGAGACTTGGAAGCCACATAATGTAATTAGGGCCTGGGCTTTAGAGTCAAATGCTGATTCTAATCCTGGCCTTAAGTGACCTCTGGCAAGATTCTTAGCATCTCTGAGCTTTGGCTCCCTCATCTATAAATGGCAGTACCAACTCCTACCTTGCTTGTTTTGAGAATTAAACAAAATCACAAATGTTATTAATAACAGTAGTGTAGTAAAATCCTACCTTTGTGCAATAAGATTCCAAAAATATCAGTTATGTAAAATGGGCAGTTGTATCATTGCATCATTAATGAAAACCATTGTTTTTTAGTTCTGTACTATCACAAAAAAATACACAAAGAGGGTAATGTATAAAAACTGCACACTGAACTGAGAACGTCCCAAATGATTGGAAGGCCATAGCATGCCAACCGTTTCCATTAAAAACCGGGGCCAGGTGGATGACGGGAGCCCATCACCAGTCACTGTAGAGTGCACATTATTATAGGCACTTTGCTGTGGGTGTTTGCAGTGATTATTGATCGGTTATTATGATTATGTCCCCTAGCAGCACAGGGCCTAAAACAGTAACTACAACAATTAATAAACATATATAGCTGTTATTACTAACTTTAAAAAATGAAAATTAAGAAGCTTTGAAGCCCTTATATTTATTGCTCTAAAAATACTCCCATTAAAGTCTTAAGTCAGAGTTTTGAGACACTTCTCCAAGAAGCTACCACAGTCGAAGAGGCATTAGGTTTGGTTTTAATCACAAAGAAAACACTGGAAAGTTCTCTAACCTAGCAGCTCTTTGGATCACAGGACCCCTTCGAGAAGCTTAACACACTCTCCCCAGAAAAATGTGCATCACACACACACCCCACGGTTAGGAACCCAGGCTCTCTCTAACGGTTCCTCGGATAAACCCAGGCCCTCTGCACCGGCTGCAGGTTGGATCCCCTAAGGGTCCCAGATTTTCATTGGAGCTGTGTCTAAAAAGTAGGGATTTGAGAAATGATGAGAAATTATATTGCATTTTGAAAACTTTATATCACATCACATTAAACTGCCTTCTCTTAACCTTTGTATTTAAAGATGGGAGTTAAAAGTTACCCAGAGCAAGACATGACTATGTTTTTATTATTATTATTGTTACCAGTAGTAAAGAAGAGAAAAATGAGCCACTTTCTCTGCCTGAATTAACCAAAAGACTTACTGAAGCCAACGAGAGAATAGCTAACTTTCCTGAGAGTGTTAAGGTAAGATTTACAGCAGTTCATTTGGTACAACATTACTTTTTGTGTTGTCAGTTGGCTATACCGAATTCTTTAAGGTCATCTACTTTCATTTTCTAAAATCTACTCATGTGTATGCTTAAAAATTTAGGATCCAGTTGCATTTGGTTAGCTAAGATGTTTGTGAGAGTTGCATTACTGACAACACAAGCAATTTTATACCTCAGTCTTGAGCGAAATCTAACAAATTTTGTAATTGGGAAGTAAAGTAAAATTAAAGTCAGTGCCTTGTACTTGATAGCTTACAGATGGGTAGGTGTATTTGGATGTGGCCCTAGTAGTAATAGAAGCATCACATTTTAAATTAATTGGAGTAGAGCGCTAGAAAAAAGATAGATTTTGTCTGAGGACATCCCAGTAGCCATCTCGGTTTTAAGTATCATCTCTCCTCAGAGTAACTTGTGAAGAGCAAGACATTGCCTTGTGAGAAAAATGGCTCAGCTGTGCCTGAGAAGTGTCAGTAGATGAGACTTGAGTTACTGGTGCCTTCTGTGCAGGTGTTTGTGGCTCTTTTGCAAATGCTTCCTTGTTCATTCTTATGTCATCTTTCAGACCTGGCCATTCCCAGATGTGCTGGAGTCCTGTCTCGTCCTGCTTCACATCAGGTCCCAGTGTCCTGGCCACGTGACCCAAGAAATGCAGCAACAGGCCCAAGAGCTCCTTCAGAAGTACGGCAACACTAAAGTTTACAAAAGACACTGCCAGACCTTCTGCACATGAACTTTCAAAGACCTTTAAGAAATTGTGCCAAATTCAAAACATTTGACACCTTTCACCTCTGTCAGACGTTCGCTCTGATCTCTAGATGTTTTTGCAGTGATCCAAATAATATGAGGGTCAAGTTTAAGTCAACTCTACCCTAGACACAGTAGAATTTGACTTTGGGCTCAATTGTGGTTTCCTGCTAAAGGGTCATCAAAAACTAGCCATAGTTACAAGAACTGACACCTGTAAGAGTGATTGTTGGTTATCTCTAAAGCCTTATGCAGGTTTCACCCAGAGGAGAAACTTAATAACCCAAAGTGTCATGTTCTTACACACAAGCGACCTTTATAAATGCTTCATCTGATCGTAACATGTCATTCTCGTTCAAGATAGAACTGTGGCATTTTATGACTATTGGTACATTTTTAAATTGTTTTTGTTAACTTGGGCTCTCCCCTTCTGCTCTACTACTTATACTTGAATGTGAACTAGGCCTTACCCATCATGTTGATTCTCTACCCTCTGTCTGAAATTTAGGTCAAAAATTTGGTTTTATTGTTTGATGTAATTGCTCAAATCAAATGATACTCAAATCACTTACTAAAGCTTTAGAAGAACAAATAACTAACTCAAATGTGTCTTATCCCTTCAGTTTTATAAGAAATGACTGGGGCTTATTTGATCATTATAAGAAATGATGAAAATGGTTCAAGAAGAAATTACTGTTTCAGTGGTTCTTAGTCTTTTTCAGGTCACAGGGACCTTTTGAGAATTAGATTGAAGCCACAGACAATCTTTGAGGGAAAATGCATATTCCTAATTTTGTATATGTAAGTTTTGGATCATTGGACTCCCCCCCTTTAGATCATTGCATAATGGGACGCTACATACTATTTAACTATAAATCCTTGTTTTTCCTTTTTTTGACTTATAAGCATTCTCTTAAGGTCTGTTCTTCTCTTCAGTTATTGAAATAGTTGAACTATGTCAGGAACAGATGTTTCCGTAATATTCCAGTTACTAGGACATGAAAATTACAGTCTGTGGGGTAGGGATGAGAGGGAGCTCTCTTTCCCAATAATTGAACTATTTTCTTTTGGAATTCATTTTGAAGACTTTTCTGCTTGAGTGTCCAGTTTCTTTTTCCATTTTTTCCCTCAGTTTGGGGTTGCTGTGGGCAGCAATAATAAAATTCATTAACAGAAACTCTAAGAAGGAAAATATTTAATAGGCAGTTTTCAAAGATGTGACTTGCTGGGGTATTTTTTTTTTAGATTTAGCTTTAGAATTTAAGAATGCTAAACCCAAAAAAGGAAACATTGATCCTCATAGTTCTTTACACAGCTAAGTGGACTCAGAGAAGATAAGATGCACTGTTAACAGGGGTTGGAGAATCTTCTTGGTTGCAAAGATATGAGCAAGCGTGACTGAGTGGGAGAACTAGATACCGATTCTACAATCTGCTACTGTGAACACTTTGCAGAGATGGAAAAATATTTATCCCCTTCCACTTGAGTAAAGAGCAATATATATTATTAAATTAGAAATTCTAAACTCCTTCATGATTTACCAAAACCATCACCTGTGGGTGGAAAATCCTGCACACTCGATTACTGCCTTGGTAAGAAAAGAATTACTACTTGACAGCTAAGCAATAAAACTACCCAATAGCAGAAAATAACAGAAATGACCCAACTCCATTTCCTTTCAAACTCCTCTTTCCAGCACTATATAATGTACTCAACCCTTTCTAACTTGAATAGTTTTCATTTCCACCTGTCTAATTATCAGAACCATAAAGAGCCAAAGCACTGAGAGTTGACTCAAGCTTTCTGAGTAGGTAAAATATATCACTAAGCAACGGAAGAATTAGTTTTGGTCCTTTACCCCATCCAGAGTAACTTTACCTCTAATAGGTAACTTTATCTCAAATACAAATCACCATCACCTTACCCAGATGACAACACTGATCTCACAATACATCTAAATATGCGCTTTCTTAAATAGTCTTCATTTTTCACATACCAGTGACTATTCTAAATTGCACATCAAACCTTGTCAATACCCTGTTTAAAAATATCTTTCAGTAGTTTCTCATGGCTGCTGGAAAAAAATCTTAAATGTGTTTTATAAGGTCTTACTTGATCCCATCTTTCATTTCTTGGTGTCCTGTCAAAACAGTCATCCTTGCTTCTAGAATCCAGCCACACTTGTCCCTTAGCTGTGTCAGTTCTCATCATTGTAGGGGTTTTGCCCATGTTGTTCCTCTGCCTGGCCCACTCTTACTCACCTCTTAGATCTGTTTCCGTGTCCTTTCTCTAAAAAATCTCCCTGAACCTCAACGTCAAGGACATCGGTGTCCTATACTTTACAGCTCACAAATTGTATTTCTGTTAACTACTTACTGTCTGGCAACACAGTAGGCCGTAAACTCTGATGAGGGTAGAGATTATCTTCCATGTGCTGTCATCCCCAGCACCTACTCAGGGTCTAGTAGGTACATAATGGAAACTATGAGGACCAATATTTCCTGTTTGGGGTTTGCCATTTTTAAATTCTAAAGCTAGATCTTTAAAAAAACAAAACAAAAAAAAACTCAGTCACATCTTAAAAAGTGCCTCTTAAATTTTTTCCTTCCTAAAGAGTTGGCTGAATAAATTATGAAACTGAAAGAATACTCATTAATAGCTTGGACTTTAAAGACTGAGCTCATTCACACCGGCACTAGTTGACAACTGGGCTCATGGTTGTGTCCAACCATACAGGGTTGGCTGAACACTGGAATTCAAGAACATCTGGCAGTATGTATGGAGCGGTACAGTTGCACCCATAGTTAGCATTCTCTTGGTTACTCTTCAGGAGTATCCCTGAGTAAAACCACTCACACAGCCCTACATGTGTTCATCTATACACAAGGCGAAGTTCTTGCCAGTTCTAATAGATTTGTGCCCTTTCTTTAGCATCACTTTTATAAGCTCTTATCTCTCTCATGCAATGACCAGACCCCAAATCAACACTGAATTCTTCAACTGTTCATCGCAATGTTTCTCTTGACAAGTCTGTACTCAATTGTGGCAAAGATAAATTCCTATTTTAATCCAAATTTGGAAGGACATCTGTGCAGGGCTCATAGACACCAGCATACCACAGCACTCAGGTTGAGAACCACTGACCTATGCTGCTTGTACCGCAAATCTTAGTAATAAATGTCTCTTCCTGCATGTGAACATCCCGTACAGGGTCGAAATCCCAGATATGTCCTATACCTGACTTCTTACAACTCCACGTTTTTTGTGCCAATGGGAAGGGTTGGAAACAAAGTCCTGAGCCAAGCCCAGGATATCAGAAGTTCAATTTGTCTAAGAGAATTCCACTAATTACCAAGCTAATTCACCATATATAATGGAGTGGCCCCAGGAAATGGAATTAAAACCGGTTTCCTGGTAAGGCCCAACAATCGGTGATGGGTATAAAGTGATGATTCCATTTACACAGCTGCTCATTAAAAGTTTCCTACAAAGAGACCTTCTGTATACAAACCAACTTGAGGCAAGAGTCTGGAGACAGATTTGAGATGCTTCAGTGTTACCGACGGCAACCAACCATTTCTAGAGCCAAAAATTCACAGCTATGAAAGACCAAACGTTCATGCCAGTGGTTAAAAAGAAATCTTTATTATACAAAATTAAAAACATAAATATATTTACAAGCATCTTAAATACCAGCTTATAAGACTTGACATTTTTTGAATCATTTCAAATTGAGTTTTCCATAAGCTTTTAAAATGCAAGACTATTCATCCACTTCAGTGAGTTACCAGTTTTCATTTCCACCATTCCAAAGGAGTTTTTGGTTTTTCAAAATTATCCATACTGTAGTCATTCGAAAAAAAATACAGTGTACTTTTTAAATGAGTAGTTTGGAAAAAAAAATCATAGTCCTGAGCTTCCTATCCCAGTTGTGGGATATTACTCCAAGAGAACTCTATAAACCAAATTCCTTACTGCCCTGTTTACATGAACCACTAAAACATTTCAAAGACTCACATTCCTTGTACTCACATTAATCCTTCTCCCAAACTTCTCCTCAGGTTTGCTGAAAGGAAAAGCAGGGAAAAGAGAGAAGAGAGGTGGGGAAATACAGATGACCATCTGAAATCACAACACGCTTGTGATCCAAAAATCTGATATTACTAAGGATCAAATCCAGGATATTTTATGAAAATTTAAAGTGATTTCAAATGATGCACACATGATAGCAAATAGTGGCACAATGGAACACAGACTTTAAGATAGTGGTTAACTAATACCCACTCTGGAGTTCCTCATGAATAAAAAGGTAGATTCAGTAGAATTTTGTTTTCGTGAAAAGTTTTCATTATCTGGTCTTCAAATTTCAGCACTAAGTACATAATTCATTTCCATATAAGAGTACATAAAAAAAGACTAACAAAGTGTGAGGAAAGCAAATGTCCTCAAGGGTCAAAAAAAAATGAAAGGAAAAGACTGAACACTTACAACCCACACTTAAAAAAAACACCATTTTGTTCCACTGTCCCTGGAAGCCCTCAGCTCAGCTGAGAATCATAGTAAGAAGTTTTCATCTTCAGAGATTAGCAACAAATTTAAAAGAAAAAGAATGACAACAGGCAAGAGTTATATACATTTTACTAGTTTGTTTCTCACTTGTCCTGGATATTTAAAAAGGTATCAAATGAGTCATGGATGCTGGTGGCAGGAGGCAACTGGAGAGGAAAGGCCTAGGGATGAGGAATAGGGAAGGCCTGTTTACAAAATCCCCTCTTCTGGATCTAAAATAAAGACATCTTTTGTCTTCAGTAAAACAAGTCTTTCTGCTCAATGCAGACAGTAGGTACAGTTTACTCAAGAAGCGTTTTCTCTTGGGGAGGAAGACAAGTATACAGAGTCAGCACAGTAAGCACCACTCTAGAGTCGGGCCCACCCTGCAGAGCCTTGCTGCCATCACTGCTGCATGTTGTTGATGATCGCCAGGATGCTCATCTTCTCCTGGGCAGAGTCCACATCCTCATTCTGCTTCTGGGCCACTCCCGTGCCCAGGCCATAGAGCCTCCCACAGTACTTGGCATCATCAATACTGTCCTCAAAAAACAACTGCAGAATAGGATAGAGAACCGGTGGTGAGAATCATGCCAAGAGTCTTGCCAAGAATCATGCCAAGTCTCAACACAATATCAGCACCTCCCAGCTCTCTTAGAGCCCTGAAAATCTAGGCAACTGGAAACCAGTTCCATAAAGAAAGGCTCCAAACCTTTAAATGCTTTCTGAACAGACTTCTACTTTCCACGAGTTCTTTCACTGCCAGGATCCCTGTGCTGCTGTTGCTGCTGCTGTTTTTAGTACAAATGCCCATCCTTCTCTTTAATAGGCAGAGCGGTGGTCTCGCCTGGACTCCACACTCAGACTGATGCAATGTGTGACCTTAGAAAAGTCACTTTGACTCTCCTTAAGCCACTGTTCCCTACTATACAATGGAGTGATATAATAATAGGTGGTGATGAGTGAGATAATGGGCATTAAGCACCTATAGCAGGGTATTCTCTCTTCAACTTTGTTTCTGGGCAGGATAATTCTTTGATGGGGGGAGCTGTCCAGTGTATTGTAGTAGTGTAGGACATTTAGCAGCATTCCTGGCCAGTAGCACATCCCTCCCCCAAATCCTCACCACCAGGCTGTGACAACCAAAAGTATCTCCAGACACTGCCAAAGGTACCTCAGAGGGCAAAACCAGGGAGTATGATGCCGCCAGCTTTGTTCTTCTTTCTCAAGATTGCTTTGGCTATTTGGAGTCCTTTGTGGTTCCACACAAATTTTAGGATTCTTTGTTCTATTTCTGTGAAAATGCCATTGGAATTTTATAGGAGTTGCACTGATTCTGTAGATTTCTTTGGGTAGTATGGACATTTTAACAGTATTAATTCTTTCGATCCATGAGCACAGAATACCTTTCCATTTATTTGTGTCATCTTCAATGTCTTCATCAGTGTCTTATAGTTTTCAGTGTACAGGTCTTTCACCTCTTTGGTTAAATTTATTCCAAGGTATTTTATTCCTTTTGATACAACTGTAAGTGGGACTGTTTTCCTAATTTCTCTGATAGTTCATTATTAGCGTACAGAAATGCAAGATTTTTTTATATTGATTTTATATCCTGCAACTTCACTGAATTTATTAGTTCTAACAGATTTTTGGTGGCATCTTTACGATTTTCCACATACAATATCATGTTATCTTCCTATAATGACAGTTTACTTCCCTTTTTTTTTACTTCCTCCTTTTAGGTTTGAATGCCTTTTATTTCTTTTTATTGCCAAATTGTTTTAGCTGGGCCTCCCAATACCATGTTGAATAAAAGTGGTGAGAGTGAGCACCCTTGTCCTGTTACTGATCTTAAAGGAAAAGCTTTCAGCTTTTCACCATTGAGTATGTCACCTGTGAGATATTTGATAATTAACAGAACTTTATGTTTATTTATTAGCACGAAATAAGTAGATGGTCTAACAAATGTGTTCACATTGTAGACATCAGAAGAAAAGCAAATCATTGCAAGGATTAGAGCCGCTAAGAACACCAAACACACTTGTAGACTTATGCATGCCGAGTGGCCTCCATTTCAGAAGGCTCCTTTGCTGCCTGAACTACATTTAATATGTTGAACACCATAAGAAACCAACCAAAAACAAAAAAACAAAAACCAACTGCTTTCACAACGCTGGGTCATCAATTTCAAATAGAAACGATGAATTTCCAACAAACCTCGGCCCGCGAAGACCACACGCTTCCTCAGCCTTACCTCCTTCATCCTGAAGAACGCCATTCCCGTCAACAGTGAGTCTGAGCCTGCCTGATGCTGCCTCCCAATCCTCTGCAAATCCAACTGATCAGCAACTTCCTGAAGACCTCCCTGCAAACATACGGAAAACAAAGATACTATTACAGACCCAACGCTCCTCTACCAGCATCAACTAAGTCCATTCTTGAGTTTACTTCTTTTGGTGATGAGAAGTGGGAACAAGCCATTTACTTAACAGTTCTTAACCCAGCCTGTTACATTGTGTTATATTCCACTTTTCACTCCTTTTTTTCTATATCACTAATTTTGTCAGATCTCTGCCCCTTAAAGTCCTCATTGCTATAAAACGAGGTTGAGGAAATATTAAATGCCAATCCAATTCAAGACAGAAAACCACTATGTCAAGTTAGGGTGTTGAGTTCTTAAATCATCTGGAGTTAAGAGTTGAGAGTCTGGTACACTATAGACCCCATTCATAACAAACTGCACATACAACTCTGAGTACCAACTGCTTCACTAGGTTCATGGGCCCTAAGTAAAGAACACCTGCCTTAGGATAAGAGTAGCAGAGGGCTCCCTTCATAGCCAGGTTAAAGACAGTTACCACGCAAATCCTTATGCCAATCAGCTCTATATACAACCTCTCTAGCATAATGCTGGCATCTAGCAGGCACTCAAGAACACATGCTGAACAAATGACAATAAAGCAAAATGATAAGTCTGCTTTTCTGGCTTTTTTGTTGTCGACAGTATTAAGAAAAACATTGTATACCTTAAGATTTTTGCAACTCTTCATCAGGTATTTCACATCATAAATGGATGGGAAGAAAAGGTTCAGAATATGAAAGAATTCATGTTCCTCTTCCGGCAAACGAGAATCCGTAAGTAACTTTACCATGTAGCCAAAATCGTAGCCACTGCAAGAGAAGGAGGCACTAAGGTGAAAAAGCAGCAGTTATCAGGCCCCAGAGTTCAACCACTTTTCTTCCCAAAGCTTATGATGCTCGTGTTATTTGTCTCGTGTTAGGAACATTGTCTTCCAAATTGTTATCCTACTGTAACCTGAACTTTCTATTAAAAAACAACATAACAGACTAATATGGGAGATACATAAGAGAACCCAAAGATTTATAAACATGGGTTCTATTCATCAAAAACTCTAAAGTACTGAAAAGGTAAAATAATATCTCCTAAGGGGAATCTGGCTTTCGAGTACATAGGAAACTCCAAGCCAGCCAAAAGACAAAAAAAAGACAACCAAGTGCTTCAATCCTCCCACCCTCCATCTTTCTACCTGGAATATACCGCCTAACAGCCACCGGACAGAGCCCAATACTTTGTGAAATAAACCAGTATGAACTCCAAAATTTTTTTTTTAAAGCTGACACATGAGTAACAGTTATCATTTCAACTACTAATGACCAACAGAAGAGAGCCCACAAGACTGCGAAAACTAACGTAAGAATTCAATTCCCTACTCCCAAATTGAGAGAGAACACATTCCCTGGGACTGACCTGTGAAATGAAAGCCATTTGACGTTGTCACAGAGAACCACCCCTGATGTCATAAGCAGCTCCGCAAAGTGCAATGTGTCAATCCCTTCCTCTTCATGCTTCTGAAACTGCAGTCCTGAGTTAGCAAGGAGATCTATGGAATCTTGGGAGTACATGTCCTCTCTAAAAAAGAAGGTGTTAACTCTTTAGCTGATGGATAATGTGCAGAAATAGTGGGCAACAATATTCTAATCGCATTATTATATAACATTTTCTTGAAATGTTTTCATAATTTAATAGACCAATTCATTCCTTCCAGTATTGCAGCAAGCATGCAAAGTAGATAATCTTATCCCTGTAACAGTTAGAAAAATGGGATTTCCACCCATAAAATAAATTTCCTAATTATAAAAGACTCACATTTTCTCACTGTGTAAAAAAAGAACCAATACAAAAATATTTCAAATAGCAGAAAATGAAAAAAATTAATGTTCTTATCATGCTAGCCCATAGAAATAACTGTTAACAACTTGGTTTATATATCCTTGCAAACTATTTTCTCTGCCTACACATACATCTATATATCATAGACCATCTCTCTCGATCAATATTCATTGATATGCCACAGCCTTTGTAAATCTGGCATTATATTTCACTGTAAAGATATATCCATTAAACAGGAATATTTAGAATATCACATGACACAAAAGCAGGGAAAGTAATGACTCATTTTCCACTAGATTTCGCTGTTTTCCTTTCATTTGTTTTTCAGGTAAACTTAGGATAGACAAATGGAAAGAAAATCATCACAATTTTAATTTTTTTCCACTAAATTAAAGCCATTCTTGAGTCCCAATCTTTTGTTGCACCTCCAATAAACATTATTTTAAACATACACAAACCCTGCAATAAAAATATTATTTTATGTATTATATTATCATTATGGTATAAATAACAGGCTTTTGCAATACACTAAAAAAATATAGTGAGAGGAAAAATCCAGATTATCTCCCAAAATTATTCTTTGAACCTCAAAGAAACCTCCAAAACACGTGGACAGCAATCAAAAAATTATCCCTGAGCTATTACATACTCCTGGTGCCTAGTTAAAGCAGTATTATTAAATAACTGGGGCCCAATAAGAAATATACTCACACCACCTCAATCAGCAAAATAATAATCTCCCCCAAATTTTCCTCTTAAAAAGTACATAATCCTCAAAAACTTAAAAGCAGAATTATATAATCGAGCAATCCCATTTCTGGATATATATCCAAAAGAACTGAAAACAGGGTCTCGAGATATTTGCACATCCATGTTTACAGCAGCACTATTCACAATAGCCAAAGGGTGGAAACAACCCAAATGTCCATCAATGGATGAATGGATATACAGAATGTAGTATATACAAACACCGTAACATTGTTCAGTTTTATGAAGGAAATCCTGCCACATGCTACAGCATTATGTTAAGTGAGGACATTATGGTAAGTGAAATAATCTAGTCATAAAACAATCAAGATACTACATGATTCTATTTATATGAGGTATCTAAAGTAGTCAAATTCATAGAAACAGAAGGTAGAATGGTGGTTACCAAGAGCTGGAGGAAAGAGAAAGGGAATTGTTGGTTAATGGGTTATAAAGTTTCAGATTTGCAAGATAAAAAGTTCTGGAGGTCTGTTTCACAACAGTGCAAAGATGATAAATTTTATCTGTGTTTACAACTACTTTTTTCAAATTACATCAAAATTTGCCCACTATCAGATAGGCTTTAGTTTCGACTATCTTTAATTAACACCCACTCTATACCTTACTTCTATTATGAAAGATACTTATAACCCTCTTTTACAAATAAGGAAACAATTACAGAGAAAATAATTGACCCAAATCACCCAGCTAAGAAATGACAGAACTGCAATTCAAACACTGAACTCTTAACTGGAAAACTGACTTTTTCATTTTAAACAGTCTTATTGAGATATAACTCACAAACTAAACAATTCACTCATTTAAAGTATATAATAGTTTTTAGTATATCACAGAATTGTAACCACCACCACCACCACCACAATCAGTCATAAATCATTTCATCACCTCAAAAAGTAACCCTGTGCCAATTAAGCAATCTCTCTCTATACCATAACCTCTCCACACCACTCTAGAGACCACTCATCTATTTTCTGTGTCTATGGATGTGCCTACTTTGGACATTTCAAATAAATAGAATCATATATATGGCCTTTTGTGCCTGGCTTCTTTCCCTTAGCATGTTTTCCAAGTTCATCCATGTATAGCATATATTAGTACTTCATTCTTTTTTTAGTGCCCAGTAACATTCCATTCTGTGGATACACCATGTTTAATTTATCCAACTGTCAGTTCACAGACATTTGGACAGCTTCCACTTTGGGGCCTTTACAAATAAAGCTGCTATGCACATTCACCTACAAGTTTTTTCACAAATGTATGTTTTCATTTCTCTTGAGTATAGGCCTACAAGTGGAATTGCTGGGTGTTTAACCTGTTGAGGTACAGCCATACTTTTTCCAAAGAGGCCGCACCATTTTACATTTCCACATCCTGGCCAACATTTATTATTATGCCTTTTTTATTATAGCCACCTAGTGGGTATGAAATGTTATCTCACTGTGGTTTTGATTTGCATTTCCCAAATGACATGATGGTGAGCATCTTTTCATGAGCTTATTAACCATATGTGTTATCTTCTTTGGAGAAGGTCTATTCAGATATTTTGTCCATTTTTAATTACATTACTTGTCTTTTTATTGTTTACTTATAAGAGTTCCTTATGAGAGACTTGACTTTCTGAGATTCCTCCTTATTCCATCCTGTTTGACTGCTCCTTCCAACCCTTCCCTGGGTTCAGTGGAAACGAAACTTAAAATTAATAAAATCAGTTAGAAATCACAGTCTGCACAAATGTAGCAGATCTAAGAATAACACTGAAAAGTGTCTCAGACACTTACGTAAGGTTGAATTTGAAGTTGAACTGCCATGTGTTAATTCCAGAGGGATATTCTCCCTTCTCGTTCGTGAATGTAAGGCCCAGTTGGATAATTTTTAAAAGGTCAACATTGCACCGTAAAAGCTGATACTGGTAATCTATGGAACTACGAAATTCACCAATTGGTCGCACCACAACACCTGGAAATTCTGTGTCCTAGAAAAGGAAAAAGTCTCTCATCATGAGGTTTCACAAAACAGTGGATGCTAAATTGATCATTCATAAAACAAAATTTTTACCTCAATTTATAAAAGTTATGTGACAAGCCCCAAGCTTGGGCACAAAAATCTATCCTAAAATACCGATCTTGTTGGCATCTACAAAAGCACTAAAATCATGAAGCTTTACAGAACAACTGGAGGACTCTACACAGGATGTGAATGGAAGTAGCTAACTATAGGTAGGTATACAGTCATTTAAGAACATTCTAGGTTGAGAACAATATATGAGTAAAAATATAAAAATAGGGAAGTGAAAGAGCCATTCCGAAAAAACAATAGCCATGTTTAGCTTGAGTAAAAAGAACAAAACCATAGGGAGTACTAAATATCAGGCTAAAGACTTGATTTTACAATCTCTACAGCAAGAGTCACAAACTCCAGGCAACTCATGTAAAAGAGTAAAGCAGACTGTGTATGAAAAAACGAGAAATGGGACTGGAGCAAAGCATACGTGACTCCTCTAAAAGAGGCCCCTGATATCATCTCCATTCCCAGCCACTCAACGTCAGGCAGGAATGTGGATTCTATATTGCCAGATCTTCACAATTTTCCAGAGATGGCAAAAATCTGTGTTTAAGTAAGGTCCCTTGATTTTTAAATGCTGGCAACTAATTTTTAAAAAATTGTTTTAAACACTATAAAAATTTACCGTATCTGTGGGGCAGATGTGCCCTATGGGTTGACATACTTCTGCTTTGAAGACTTTCAAACATGGAGCGACATTACAAAAAAACCTAAGACATTAGAGGCTATATACTTCTCAGATATACTGCCTACCTTGATGTTTCATAAACGCAATGTAACTTCCCATCATGTTTAATTTACCATTGCTTTAATATAATCATTTATTTCAAAAACTCACATTAAACATTTCCTAAGTCCATACCAGAAGGTGAGTCAAATAAAGTAGAGCTCTTTACCATGGCAATATAACTGTAACTGAGCACAATCTCTCGGATCTTCCTCATCTCTTCTTCTAGATTGCTGGCCCAGACTTCACAGATAACCTGGCTGTTTTCCACAAGTGCTGCAGGCATCCTGAAGAAACTTGAGAAGTCACTTTCAGCTGACTATGTTACAGGTCAAGCCAATGGTTGATCTGATCTAGATTCAAAACACATTTTGCAATCACACAAATTTACATACTGGTATAAGATGCCAAAAAGACAAAGGCATCAAAACAACATTTTACCATCATGTCACCAGTTAAAGCTAAAATATTAAAACTATTATATTTATTCTACACATACACTCATACTCAGTTCTTTTACCTAAAGAACTTAAAATTATTAAGAAACTTGAAGAAACTTTTTCACAAGCTTTCCTTTAGCATAGAAGTAAAGTCACTACACTAAACTCTCTCCAGAATACCTAAAGACTAAAATAGTCCCCTGTGACCACAAATATTCCCTATCCTTAACTGTCATAGTGTTTTGCTAAGAAACCAAATTGTGGAAACATTTTTAAAGGAATCACTTTAGCCAGTTAAAATGTAGCTGGGATCTCTGAAAGGATGTGGACTTTAAAAGTCTCATACTTAAAATCTTTACACCCATATGATGAATATAGGCATAGGACTCCCCCTACTACCCACCAAGAAAAGGAAGTTCTTTTTCTCTACAATGCAAAAGTCAAATAGAGCTGGAAGCAATTAACTTAATATAGCGCCTCTTTAGATTTGTGCAAATAAGGATTTAGTGGTAAAACACAATCCTTCTTGCTAATTTCAGCCTTAACAATCTCAAGAAAAATCTGAATTTGAGTTATTAATGTCTACTTTTAAACACATATTGTAAAGAAACCAAGCAGCAATTCAACAATAAAGATAGAGAAGATGGCAGGTACAAATAATTCAACCAAAGTCAAAATGATTAATGGTGTATATTCTGGGAGGAAACTGGGGAGTAGACAGTATTCTCCAAGATAAAACTCAACATGGTTCAGCCTCAGAATAATGCTGTTATTACAGCAAACTCAACATGAGATGCTTCGTTATAAAAAGATTAAAGGAGGTTATCCTTAGGGCATTTACTTAAAAGGCAACCCCACACAGGGATCCTCAACACTCTATTATAAAGAGTGGGCTCCAGAGTATATATTCAGGGAGAAATTCCTAGAAACAGTAAAATGAACATGAGTGATTTCTGAGGAAAAGAGCAAGTAAAATCTTTTGCTTTCTACTGTCAAGCTAGGCAGATACAATAAGAATCTGGAAAATAAAATTGGCATTCTAAAGTGTTATCATTTCTGAGAAACTTCTAAGAAACCAATCTGTTGGTTTGTCATCAACCCTTAAAAGATTCCATTTACTCAAGGCACCCAACACTTCGACATATGTTTCTCTGAAATTATAGTAGACTTACTATAATTACTCTGAAATTTAAGTAGATTGTAGTATCTTCCTAACAAACATGGTGTACATTTCTTAAAGACAGAATCTATTTCTTCTCATTTTTGTTTTATACACAATGGGCATGAATGAAAGGCTTGCAAATGAACAAATAAAGAATATCAGAAAAGACCAGAAGTTCAAACTGAATGTGGAATTTACTATCTGACTACAGTTAAGAAAATGTTGAGACTCAGAATTTTAGATTCTAAACCATGCATAAAGGTTTCTCCTGCAAAAGGGCTTTAAACCATTAATGTTGAATCTGTAGCACTTTGTTTCCTTATTTCCCTAACTGAAACAATGCACTTCCTTTTTGGTGTCATTTGAAATACAACCTTAAATTACTCTAGGGGAAGTGAGTATCAGTCCTGGAGACAGTTGCATAAAAGCAAAAGCAACAAAAGTGACCCAAGCGAAAAATACCTTTGGCCTCCAAGAAATGAAGAACAGACTTAAAAAGAGGGCGAGTATTAGGTAGGTATTCACACTAAACTCTTAGAACCAGGGTCCCCAGCTAAGATACTCTTTAAGGTTGTATCAAAGAACTCAGGAAACAATCTGAAGAGGCTCTCTCTGGTCGAAGAAAAGATAGTACAAACATCATTATGGATAAATTACTACAGTATATTAAAACTTCTCAGATTTAAATCCATGAGTTCATAATGAACTAAGAAAATAAACCGAACTAGTCACTACTGGAGAATGCTAGTGAATCGACTTATTTTTAAAATGTACTTTGAAGTAACCCAATAGCTGAAAGTTTTTCTCTTCAAAAAGTTCTACAGCTCAGAAATATGAAATGATAGAATATCACCATTTTGTGACTCCTAATGAATTTACAGATTTGAGCAATAATCATAATGGCATTTACATGGAATAAGCAAAAAAGGCAAATCTTTATAAAGAAAGTAAACTACAGTGGTAGGATGGGGATAGGAATAGGGATTAACTGAAAATGGGCATAAGGTGATACTGAGGTGATGAAAATGTTCCCAAATTCAATTACAACAATGACTGCACAACTCGGTAAATTTACTAAAAAAATCTCTGAACTCAACATTAAAATGAGTGAGTTTTATAATATGAAAATTGTACCTCGATGAAATTGTTAAAATAATCCCAATGGCTGTCATCATTACAAAAAGACAACCAAGTATTATGTGCCTCTTGACAGAACACATCACTATGAAAGTCTGCTTGACTTAAAAGCTAGGGACACGTACTGAGAAACACAAATGCATCACGAGGTGATTCTGTTGTCCTGCGAACATCACAGAGTGCATGTACACAAACCTAGATGGCATGGCCTGCTAAACACCTAGCTATATGGTACAGCCTACTGCTCCTAAGCTACAAACCTGAATATGTTACTGCACAAAACAACACAAGATTAAGCCAAGCACAAGAGATACTGATGTAATCGGGATGCAGTAAACACGAGATGTATGAGGCTGCTGCTGATGGTGTAACACAGCAGCAGCTTTACGGAAAACTTTTTTTATAAGCTTAGAGTACACTCTAAAATAATGATGAAAAAGTATAGCATAGTAAGTACATAAATCTGTAACAGTCATTTATTATCAAGGATGATGTACTATACATAATTGTATGTGCTATACTTTGATACTACTGGGAGTGTAGGTTTGTTTACACTAGCATTGCCACAAGCACATGAATAATACATTGTACTATGTTAGGGCAGCTATGACCCCACTGGGCAGTAGGAATTTTCTGGCTCCCTTATGATCTTATGGGACTACCACCAAAGTATATGCAGTCCGTCATTGATCAATACACTGTTATGCAGCACATGACTATAATCTTGCCAAAATAAAAATCTCACTTGAACCTGAACACACCTCTAGATTTAACCACCAATTTACAGAAAATAAAGAGGACAGAGGAACATGTTAAATGACACTACAGAAAATACTGTGGGAAATTGCAGAACCACCCAGCTTCTTCGACAAATAAATTGCAAGAAATAAAAGTGAAAGACTCTCAGGAGACATATAACCAATCAAAATGTACAGGCCTTGGTTCAATTCTACTTCAAACAAACTGTTGGGGGAAAAAAACTATCACATTTTTGAGACAATTAGAAATCTGAACAATAATTGGCTGGTTTTGCTCTTCTGTTCTGGGGTTTGTGTGGGTTTTTCTTTTATCTTTTTTCTTTTTTTGATGTTATATTGTGGCTATAGTTTTTTAAAGACAGCCTTTTTTGAGATAATTTAAAATATTTATAGGTGATAAAACCTGAAACATGAGATTGTGCTTGAAAATAACAGTGGAGAAAATTCTTCACACCTTTGTACATTATCTATCTTCTACATTTTACAGGTAAGAAACTAAAATTTAGAGATATTAATTTTAAAAGGCAGTATCATGACTTCTATTTTTAACGAAATATTTTGTAAAAAGCTAACCACTGTTAAAAAGCTAACCACTATTATACATATCTGACAAATGGGGAACGCAAAAGCAGACCACTGGCAAAAATACCTAAGATTCTTGCACCAAACCCTTATCTAGGAAAACTATGCAGAAATAAAAATAGCTTGCAAGCCCCTAAACATAGTGTCACTCAAAAACTGAAGAGGAATCATATCAACTTAGCAGGAATTACTAGATATGTTAGCCAAGAAAGAGAAATAACAAATAATGCCAACAATTCTGCCTGCCACTTTCCATTCAGTGAGTACATGCTCCAGAATGAGCCTAAAGATGGAAACCACACGTTCTCCTAGGTCTCTTTTTAAGCCTCTAAGTGCCAGTATCTCACAGCGCAGGTCAGAGTGCAGAATAACCATTCAAAATGTGTATCTGTGCAACACAGTCCCTAAAGGTAACCTAATTACTTTACCTGAGTTGCAACCACAGAAAACAGTAACAAGTTTCAAAGTTGAAGGAAAAACTGACTCTGCCGGATTTACTGAGAAACAGGTTGGCCATCTCCAACTTTGCAACTTCCCAAAGAATTTTTAAAGCTAAATTTGATAGCATGCAATGTTTGCTTCACAGGCTGCCTTTAAAATGACTCCACATGAGCTATTCCACTCCCTATGAAAGCAAAAGACAAGCACTAATTGATACCTGTTGTTTCCCAGCACTAGACTGTGCAAGAAGGAAAGCAAGCGCACCCTCTCTGTCTCACCCTCGCTCACTCCCATATATACATACACACACCCCTACGAATTCTTGAAGACCCTGCCCTGTGCTGATCTACAGTACAATCTGTTCAGACCGTTCCTGACGACCATAGTGTAAAACTACTCCAAAAAATCTCCTTATTTACCCAGGGGCGCTCTGAAGAACTAATGATACAGCCACCTGAAAGCTTTCTCCGCAAGCAATTCTGAACACCAGGCCTTGCTTGGGAAGAGAATGTTTGGTTTTACTGGCTGTTTTAAGCCTAAGTGTGCAAGAAAACAATAAACATCATATTCCCCTTCTAGAGGACTGGACAAAGGCTCTGCAGCGCATGGATGGAAAAGGAAGCAGCAGCACGTTAGAAGAAATGGCAGCAACGTGAAAGAGTGCTCTCTACACACGGCCGCGGAGGTCGCCGCCGCCTTTGTCTTCCCCTCCTCCTAAAAAAAAACAAAGCGTCTGAAGACACTACTCTGGATTGAAGTGCAGTTTAACCAGTTCTTAAAACACCCATGGGGCCCAGGCTTGTGAGTTCGCTCTTCCAGAGCAACGGTTGCGGCTCATAAAAGCCATACAACAGCAGGGAAAAGTTGTGGGGCCGCAAGAACCAAGAAGGGGAGAAGCCTGCCTGGTTCCAAACGCATTTCTTCTTCTCTCTAATCTCCCGTCATCATTCTCTTCCCATTCCGGATTACCCTCCCACTTTACACTCATCCTTCCCTTCCTCTTTACACCCTCTGTTCTTTTGGGTGCAAAGCAATTAAAATTACAGGACTTAGGGCCAGACAGACCTAAGGTCAAAGCCAGGCCACCGAACAGCTGAGCGTCTTTGCATAAATTATTTAACTTTTCTCGTGCCTCAGTTTTCCTATCGTGTGAAATGGGTTTAATAATAGTAGACACCTCGGAGGGCTGCAGCAGAGGTTAAATTGAATGAAGTATATTTAAGGTGCTTTGTAAAGTCCTGGCACACATCACTAGAATATTTTTATCGTGTAGTAGTGGTTATTATTACTACTATTCTATGGGCCTCTTTTTCGTCTCGCACACCCTGCCTCTCAACACGCCCCCACTCCCCTTCCTCCCACAGGCCCGGATGGCCTCCCACACTCTCTCGTCCCATATTCCTCTCTTTGGTAAGCGCAGGCCCGCTTACCCAGAAAGGCAGGGCCCGCGAAGCGCGGGGCTGGCGGGCTGGAGGGCGGACTCCGCGGCAGCGGCGGCAGCGGCCCCTGACCCGGCGCTCTCCTCCCTTTGCCCCGGATCTGCTCCCAGGATCGAGTTGGTCAATGAGATGCGCTCCCTCGTGCCCAGAGCGGCCTTAGGCACTGCCCACCAGACACCACGGCCTTACCACTCTACCCAACCAATCCTCCCGACTCGCCTGCTCCAGTTCGCGTCACTCCCGACGCGCGCGCGCCTGATCACGCCTGCTCCGCCCCTTCTGCGCGCCCCAGCCACTCTGTGCGTGTTCGCCCAACCCGTGAGCTCGCGGGAGCAAACGCGCAGGCGCAAAATCAAGAAGGCGCGGCGAAATCGGTGGGGAGGGGTGGCCTCTGAGGACGCGTGCGGAACACGGCCTGTTCTAGGCCTTCGGGACGTTAATTGCGCTGACTTGATTCAATCTAGACCCTATTCCTCGGTTTCGGTTCTTCTTCCGCGCACCCAGGGAACGGGCGTAGTTTAGAGCTAAACCCCCCTCAGGAGTGGGCGTGGCCTAAATGGACCAAAAGGCGTGGCCTGTCTAACCTAATCCGAAATTACAACTCCCCAACCTCCCTGCTTTTAAGGACTTTCAGATCTTCAGTAGGAACGGACTTGGGGGAAGGATGGTGGGGAGAGATCCAGACCGTTCTCTCTGTGGTAATGCAGCCCCCTGGACCCCTCGAAAGCATCTGCCTTACAGCTTCCTTCCTGGCGAAGGGGGATGGGGGCAACACCACCAAATCGCGTCTGGGTGACGTCTGCCAAGGCTCGCCTCTATCCTCGGGGCCTCATGGAGTCCGGCGGACAGCGTTACCATAGCAACTGGCCCGCAGGGGCCTGCTCGAGTTACAAAGAAGACGCGGCCTCCTGGGGCGGTGGGGGAAGCGCCGAGCCGACGCTGGTGTCGCCCGGCCTTCCGAGAAGCTCTGAGATCTGGCGGACGCTAGGCAGGGTCGGCAGATTTTCTTTGCTAGAGTATTTGGAGTCCAGGCCTAGCCTAGGAGGTCCTTAAGGCCCCCACCCGCCCCTTAATTCCCTGTAAATCCTGTTTAGAAAGAGGGCTCTTTGCCAACGCCTGTCAGCGTTTGACCAGGCTCGAATGAAACCCTGCCTCTTGGTCTCCAGCAGAGGGAAAGAAGACAAAGGACTGACTTCCTACATGCGGTTACCAATTCCAGACTGTTCTCATAGTCACTCTCACTCCACCCCTGGTCCCTGAGAAGGTCCTAGATGTTTCACCCCAAGCCTTGGGGCCTTCCTACTTTTAGACATTTCTCCCTAAGGAGAGTCTCCAAAATCCTACTTCCAATCCCAAGGCTGGATAAAGAGCTGACCTTCAGCAGCCGTTTCAAACTAGATTCGCGAAAGCTATTATTCAAGGAGGTGAACTCCTTCCCCAGCCCCCAGGGTAGAGCATCAAATGCACTTTCTGAACTCCTTCTGCCGTTCAAATGAGTCTTCTTATCTGTAACAAAGGGCTATGAGTAACTGTCTCACAAGATGATTGTATTAATAAATGGAAAAAACACTCCGCACTGAGGAAAACGTGTATTAAATAAATGTTTCTGTTCGTCTCAGTTGCTATCCCTGAGATACTCAAAGTTTGTTAGCTCTGCTGCAAACTAAACATTCCATTGAACAATGCTGTGATAGAGAAAGCAGGCAAGACTCTCCCGCCCCCGTGCCCTGTGGGTTTCTAATATCCTTTCACCTACTTGTAATTAGGTTTAGGAGAGGACAGCCCAATCAGGAGCTAGTTACTTGAAGAGCAGCCTTCACAATCCTATCTTGGAATTTTGGGTTTTTTTCCTTCACTCAGGTCTGGTGTGCACTGCATCGAACAGGAAACACACCATCTCCATCCTCCCAACCCCTTCACCCAGAACATGATGTTTATTTCTCAGGTTATTGAAGATAAATGTAAAACAAACACACAGACAGCTCCGTGTTTCAGAAAATGTTGAAGTGTTTGTTGTAAACAATGGATTTTATGCCGCACTTGTGGTATTGAAAAATTGGAACAAAATCACTGATTCTTAATGGAAGGGAGGCCTCACATGAATAACAGGGCAGTTGGAGAATAATGTATTCAATATAATTTCATATTTGAAAAAGAAAAAACGTTTTTGAACTACAGAGTATAGAAAGTAAGGCTTGAACATATCTTCTCAGCTGGGAGGGTATACATTAAAAATAAAATTGAGAAACACTTTGTAAAATCAGTCTCCTTAAGAACCATACAGGGTGATATCCTTGGCCATTTAAGGCTTTCTGTTATTCTCAATTCTAAATAAATCCAACAGGATGCATTTCTTGAAATAAAATATGTGTAGGAAGATAAAATTTAACAAATATTTTGGCTTGAAATATTTTGAAAATGGAGAAGGTAATGCCTCCAGACGTATAGTACCACTGTAAATCACCCTCTGATCCCAAGTCTCAAAAACTTTCATATCCCTTAGAGTGCTGACACACTTAGGTGCCTGTCAATTCCATTGTTAGAGTGCCTCCTCCACCACCACGAAAGTAGCCAAGGACTGTCACTTTATAAGTTTATATATTTATCTTTACCATTGGACTGAAGAATGCACCCAGGGGGCTTTTTTTCTTGGTATAGTTAAGGTTAACTTCCTGCTTTTGTAGTGTTTTCTTTGCTTTTCCCACATAATAGAAAAACCTGACTCTTGAAAATTATCAACAGATTATCAAACTTCCCCCAAATATAAAGCAAATATTATGTCTCATGACTATTCGGTTGAATATTATTTTGATCTTTTGAGTACAAACTGAAAAACCTTCTGATCTCTGATAAGATCAAAGTTCATTTTTTAAAAGCCAGATATCAAATCTGTTTTATTCATATCTCATTTGATTTTCTTTGATGTTCCTTCTCCCTTAGAGTCTACTAAAGTAACATTTCAAATCTACTAATAATCATAGACCTTCAAACTTCCAAAGCTGAGAGGGTCCTTAAGAATGTCCTAACTAATGTATTCCCCTAATTTCACAGAGAGTAATTAAATAATTTAAGGTTACTCAGCTCCCAGGGATAGGACCAGGATTTGAGTCTTCTAATTCCTAGTTCAATAGTGGATTTGGTGTTCATCCAGTTTCGTTTATTGGCTATTTGCTATGGGCAAGTTCCCATGCTGACATTGAAGGATACGCTCGTGAATGAAACATAGTTCCTGGACTTATGGAGCTTAATATTTGGTGGTAGGGACTGATAATAAAACAAGTAAACAAGCATTCAAGTAAGAAATTAAAAGATGAGGACAAACTTTGATAGCTCTCATAAAGGAAACTAATGGGGTAAAGTGGCAGAATTTGGGGAATTTAGGGGAAATTACTTAGATGTCAAATAAGGGTTCGCTAAAAAAATCACACTTAGAGATGAAAAGCACAAGAAGGACCCAACTAGAAAGAGGGAGAAAGAGAGAAGCATGAGGAATTAGGAGCAGTAAATTTCAGGCAGAGGATAAGAAAGCAAGCCAGGGCAGCTGCTGAAAGGTAGAGAGAGCAAAGGCAGGCTGGAGAGAAAAGTAGAGGCTTTGATTGCTATGAACAGAGAGAATGGAGTAAAGGCAGACATTTTACTTTTTTTATTTGAATTACACTAAATTTTATAAGAAAAGAAAGCTAGTTGTTCTCGAGCATGATAAATATGTTGCCTATGGAAATATTAGGTGACAATTTAGGTAATTTTTTTTCAATTTAGGTAATTTTACTAGGTAATTCTGAGAATTAGTTGTCACTACATCTTTTAATTATTGTTAATGTGAAACTCTCAGAGGCTGCTAACTGAATATTCAGTCCTTAGCAAAGAAGAAAGTTGATCTCTGCTATAGATCTCTGCTTACAAGTAGGCAAATAAAAATATAGGCCAATGGAAAGAGAGCAGGTAAGCACGTTAATATAGATAAAAGTAAAACTTGTCCTTCGGGACTCTCCAGTCAGTTCTAAACCTCTCTTCTCTTGCTTTCTCTCCCTCTCCCTGGTGTTACAGATGACAAAGCCAACATCCTGGTGTTATAGCCAGATCTCAAAAACCTCTGTGATTTTTTTTTTTTTATAGGACCAATATTGAGAATTTTCTTTTGAACTTCTGTAACATTCTGTAATGTTCTAGGAACAATGAGACCCAAAGGCTTCAGAATATCTTGTAAATTTCTAACCACATATATTTGTTTGGGGTATATTCCAGAAAATTTTAAACAGTTATAAATCTCCACTCCAGATTATCAGTCATTAGAATTGGGAGGGGCCTCAGAGATCCACTAACCCATCTCACTCATTGTACAAATGAAGCTGGGACTCAGAGAGGTCAAGACCACAAAGCTGGTGGGTGGCAGCTCTCAGGATGAATGAAGACTTGCCTCCTTCTAGGATCTCAGGACCTCTCAAGAGCACTTTCTTTAAAGGAGATCAGCCAAGAGGGAGCCATCATCTCACACCCTCCGCAGTGACGGAAGTAATAAAAAAAGAGAAAATGAGATCTTCTTGTCCATGTAAACTTTTTATGCACATGGACTGCCTGCCTTCCGCCTTCCACATTATTTGACACCCACATCCCTTACTGAAACCACCTCCCTCGGGACAGCGACATTTTCTCAAGTTGAGGAAGATGAAGAAAGTTTTTAAAAAGAAAAAAAAGCCTGGAGTTTGGCTAAATGCGCTCTTTTAAGCTCCTGCTTAAACTGCCTATTTCCTCTTGGCTTTAAGATGTCCTTTGGCAAGAAGGGTGTTTTTGTCTACAGTCTACACAGACTGGTACTTTTTCTCTCATCACGTGCCTGGCTTGGGCCAGTGGACTGCTCTGTAACACGATCGCCGCGGCCAGCTTCTCCACCCACTCGGGTAACAAGGTTAGGTAGTTTCACGGAGATAGAAGCTGCCAAGTTAGGGGCTGACAGAGAAGAGAAAGCAGGCTTGAACTGTGGCTGGGACCTTGGAGGAGCTGGGAAACAACCCGCTGTAGAGGTGAGCGGAAGCTGTTGGGGAGGGTAGCTGTTTGTCAAGGTCAGGACAAATCCAAGTTCACTTAAAGAAAGGCAAAGTACATTTCTCACCTCTGCCACCTCCAGTACAGGTGAGATCTGTATCTAAACAATGCCCTAGGACATTTTCTTCCTTTCTCCCTCCCTCTCTTCTTTCCTTCCCTCCTAATTAAAATTTTTTTAATCAGTGGAAGATCGGCTTATAACATTATATAAGTTTCAGCTGTGCCACATTATAATTCGACATCTGTATATACTATATTATGCTCACCACCAAAAGTCTAGTTTCTATCCATCACCATACAATTGACTCCCTTTGCCCCATTTGCCCTCCCTCCACCTCCCTTGCCCTCTGGAACCAATGATCTATTGTCTGCCTCTATGAGTTTGTTTTTTGTTTATTTTCTTGTTTTCTTTTTTTTTATTCTACACGCGAATGAAATCATAGAGTATTTGTCTTTTTCCATCTGACTTATTTCACTTAGTATAATACCCTTAAGGTCTATTCATGATGTCACGAATGATAAGATTTAACTTTTTATGGCTGAATGGTATTCCATTGTATGTCTATATTACATCTTATTTATCCATTCGTCAATGGACACTTAGGTTATTTCCGTATCTTGACTACTGTAAATAATCTTGCAATGAACACAGGTGTGCACATGTCTTTTTGAATTAGTATTTTATATTCTTCAGATAAATACCCACAAGTGAAATAGATGGATCTTATGGTAGTTTGAGGAAACGCCATACTGTTTTTCATAATGACTGCACCAATTCACAATCTCACCAGCAGTGTACAAGTATTCCCTTTTCTCCACATCCTCTCCAGCACCTGTTCCTTGTCCTTTTGATGTAGCCATTTGAACGGGTGTGCGATGATATCTCGTTGTGGTTTTGATTTGCATTTCCCTACTAATTAATGATGTTGAGCATCCTTTCATGTGCCTGTTGGCCATTTGTATGTCTCCTTTGGAAAAATGCCTTTTCAGATCCACTGCCTATTTTCTGAGAGGGTTGTTTCTTGTTGTTGAGATATATGAGTTCTTTATATATTTGGGGTAATAATCCCTTATCAGATATGTGATTTGCAAATATCTTTTCCCATTCAGTAAGTTGCTTTTTGTTTTGTTGATAGTTTCCCTTGCTGTGCAGAAGCTTTTTAGTTTGATGTAGTCTCATTTGTTTATTTTTGCTTTTGTTTCCCTTGCCATTGGAGTTGAATCCACAAAACCATCACTAAGACAGATGTCCAAAGCTTAGTGTCTGTTTCCTTCTATGTATTTTGTGGCTTCAGGTCTTACATTCAAGTCTTTAACCCATTTTGAGTTAATTTTTGGTTATGGTTATAAGATGGTCGTCCAGTTTCATTTTTCTGCATGCAGCTGCTGGGATGTTTTCTCAAAGCACAGAGTCCCCTGCATGTCTCTCGGTAATGTCTGCATCCTCTGTGTGTGCACCATCTGTCTGCCTCCTCTGTAAGTCTTGTTTTTCTAGCAATTGACAGGGCAATTCTGTCATATGGACTAGTTTCAGCTTTAAAATCATGTGGAGGAACTGTCTCCCAAGTAAGAACTCAAAAGAGGAAATCTAACTGGAAGAGACTGGCAAGAAGCAACTGCAGTCAAATTGCCACTCCTCTCTAATTGCTGGGGTTGCCTGGAAGGGGTGCAACCAATTACCACAGTTTTTAAATTGTAAAGGCCTGAGATAGATGTGTGGCTTAGGAACTAGACAACCATGTCAAAGCTGTTTTGATGAAACATATGGGATGTAGCAGCAGTGGCTCTGGTTTAGAATTGCTAGTGGCCTGGTAGTACCTGCGGAAGATACCACCTGTTTATGCTGTTCCAAAAACACATGTAGGGCCGGGCAAAGTGTTAGGAAGCCCAGATTTTGCCAGAACAAATCAGTTCTGTTACCTAGTCTTAACAAAGGTTACTGGGTGAGAACACAGCGTGTGTAGATGGGAGTAAACAATAGGCCAAGGGTTTTTGGGGGTGTTCATACAGGCCCTTGGGGGCTTATAGCAAGCAAAGCAAGATTCAGACTTGTGGGTTGCTTCAGTTTCATGTGCAATACCAACTCAGTTTCCCTGGTTGGGATATAAAGATTCAGTTCAATTTGGTAAAACAGTACTGCTCTGAGCATCAATTTCTGACTTTAGAAAGAAAATCATTAGTACAAAAAAAAGGTGGTAAAATGTTCACTAGCAAATGACAAAAAGGACAAAAAACAATGCTTTTTATTCATTTCCCCTTTCATTTATTCAACAAATATTTCCTGAGTGTCTGCTATATGCCAGGCTTGTGTTTGGCGCTGTGGATATAGTTACCAAGAAAGGCAGGCTTTCAGCCTCCTAGGCATGCATTCAAGTAGATCAGTAAACTCCAGGTTTCGAGTACCTGGCAGCAAAAGCAGCAAAGAAAGGGAGCATGCCTAAAACGGTCCCAAGGGAGTTATTTTTGTCTCAGAGTTTAACCTTTCCCTTCATGCATTTCATCTTCTTGCATGAATATCTTTTTCTTTAAAAGCCTCACTTACGCACAGACCTTGGTCATAGCAGTTCCTCAAAACTCTGTTCACCAGAGACTGTAAGCTGGGTAATTGCATTTTAGGTCAGACTCAGCCCCAGAGGCAGACGGCTCAGCTTTTGTTTTTTTTTTTTAATACAAACAGTCTGAAAAACTAGGAATTCCAGTCCTCCTGTCAGCATTTCCTACTTGCGAAATACAATTTGTGCTATTCCAAAAATACATGTCAAGACAGGCAAAGTGTCAAGGAAGCCTAGATTTGCAGAAACTGTAGAGTTCAGAACAAGTCAGTTCTGCTATCTGGGCCTATCTCCTTAGCTATAAAATGGAAGAAGTAGACCAGGTGATCCATGAGGTCTTTTTCTTTTTTTTTTTTTTCTTTAAAAGTAAATAATTGTAATAATTTCATAAGATGGTTACAAAGAAATCCTACTCATTCACATAAAGATGATATATCTTATACCTATAAAATAGAAATATTCATCAACCATGTAGAATATCTAGGAACCTAGAATCTGAAAGAATCAGGCTACAAATAAAACTTAAACTCTGTCTACTCCTCGCACCCTCACTCCATTCCCCATTCTGTATTCAGATCTTTGAGGTCGTGAACATCAGCTGTAGCCTCACTCTGTCAATTTACCTAGAGTGAGGGATTCTGCAGGAAAAAACTTGCAGTCAGAATCATCTGCTTTCAAAAGAAGCACATTAAAAAGTATCTAATTTAGATAATCTCTCAATATCTATCAAATTCCCTTTAAGGGGGAATCAATTCATTGTATTTAAGTATTAGAATCTTTATTTTTAGCGCATTTCATTTTTCTTTCCTGAATGCATTTCCATCATAAATGCTATTTAATACTTTCTTCCTGTATAATTTCTTATTTGGAAAATCAAAGTTATATTGTATTACTTCATTAGATAGGGCAAGAAGCATGTCTTATTCTTCTTTGTATCCCCTGTGCCTAGCATTGTATCTGGCACACAATAAATGTTTATTGAAAGGATGATTAATATTTTAGAGAAACATGTTCTATTTATCCTTTGGTGTTAAACACACGCACACAATATCTCATCCATTATATGTGGCTAATAGAGGCTAATCTCATTCCCTTGCGTTCCTTTACAATCCTGATACCTACCTTGCATTCATCAACATCAGTACATTCTACACTTTTTGCAGACTCAATCGGTATAATGAGCACTGAGTTCAAGTTCTGCCACTAAATAGCTGTGTAATGTGAAGTTGAATACTATATATCTCTAGTCCTCCATTTCTTCTAATAGAAAATAGGGCCATCAGAATAGATGAGCTTAAGACAACTTCTAGGTCTTCGGTGAGAGAATTCAAAAGGTAAAGAAAAAAATCATAGGAAGTACAATAAAAATGTAATTATTATAGTACCTTAACATATTAAATAGTTAATAATTGTTGTTGATTTTGTTTGCCAAAATTTCTAATTTGAGCACTACCACTGGCAAACAATTTTAAGGAACTTCTCTAGGTGAAGATACCTCTGCTCACTATGAAGTCTCCCCTAGAAACTTTCTGACTGTTTATTTAAAACTGAAAACATGTCTGCAGGCAGGTAGAGAGGCACAAAAAACAAGCTGCTTTGGCATAAAATATTCAGCAGAATGATACGGTCTTCTAGCTTGGAAGAGTCAGCTACCTAAATAAGTATCTCAGGAGATAGCATATGGGCGTGTTGGCTTAGCCAAAGAACAAATAACATGTTGGGAAATACTTGGTTGCTCCTAATAAAATCAGATGTGAACAGATAAATGCTGTGACTCCTGCAGACAAAGGGGCCTTTTCACCATCCGAAGATAAAGTCACTTTCCTTTTGGCCAGAAAGTTACGTGGAGCAGAGGGTTCCAAGGTCAAATTTATTTATCAGCCCTAATCACGCAGTCTCAGTGACACTCACTTTCCATAACATGGACACCGTGAGCATCAGCACCCTGTCTTGTGAAATCCACCAGAGCTCCCTCCTTCCAGGGTCAAGGTCTTACTGTACTGGCGTCATCCTAGTCTCTCTTAGGTTTTGTTTTTAATTTTAATATCTGGTTCTGTTTATTTATAATTTATCCCCAGCCTCCATCTCAAAAGAGTTTGAGGTAGCTTCCAATGAAAAAGTATATACAATAGAACTGCAGCAAATAAATAACTGATTAGAAACCATTGGGTACTCAATAACTACCTTTCGTACTGTTTTGAGAGTGGTGGGAGGCATTGTGATCTGTAGAGAAAAGGACCAGTTGCTTTAATGCTATTGCTTTGCTTTTGAACCACGCAACATTGTTGGAGAAGAAACAGGGCACTGGTTCTTAACTGTCAGCCACCTTTAACAATCTAACGAAAGCCTGAAAAATAAACAGGGAAACATTGGCATATAATTTCAGTGGAGACAAAGACTTCTCAAAGCCCTTCGGGAATTGAATTGCATCTGATTTAGAGTAAATGGAGAGTTAATTACGCTATGTCTCTTCAGTAAAATATTACCTATGAATGGGCATTGAATTTGTTTAAAAATTTTTAAATGTTTCTGTAATTTTTCTGAATAAGTAAAATATGCTATGGTGCAAAATTCAAAATGGAAAAAAGGTACATAGTAAAAATGTAGCCTTCCTTCTACCCTGTCCCTCAGCTTCCCAGTTCACCTCACCAGAAGCCACCACAACTATAACGTTTCATAGATATTCTTCCAGTGATAGTCTAATATTCTCTATATTATTTTATGCGTACATAAACAGCACACACATAAACACATGCACAGTTGCATGTGTTCTACACATTGCTTTTCTCACTTAGTACTTCTGGAAAGGAAACACAAAGCTGCCTTATTTCTTCTATGGCTGCAGAATGTTTCATTCCTGGATGTACTATAATTTATTTAACCCATTCTTTCTTGGTGGAATTGAAGTTGTTTGCAATTTTAAGCCATTAAAAACAATTTCACAATGAACATCCTTGTATATACCTCAGTTTTTATATACAGGATTATATAATAGGAAAAAAATCCTAAGAAGTGTAATTGAGCATTAAATTTAACTCTGAGCTTACTGGCAGCCCAAGTAAAAAGGATGTGTTTGGGTGGGCACCCAAAATGATCGCTTATTTCTTTTTTGCATTCCACAAGAAAGCATACCACTTCTTCCAAAGAGGAAAATTTCCGTGCACTAATTCTTTCATAGGAATTTAACACCTGTATCCTCATAAAAAGTGTATTGCTTCTTTGAGGAAACTAAATAATGGAATAAGGAATATCTTTAATTGCTGGTTTGATATTCATGAGGCAGATTCTATACCTATCTTGATTTTTTTTTTTTTTTTAAGTATGGTCTAATTAAAACCTAGCATTCCTTGAATGAGCTAAATCACAACCTGAGAGGGAAAGGTTCAGTTTTGAAGTTGGAGACCGTGTATCCAAGAGCACAGAGAAAGCCTGGCCATTGTCCCCCTTTAAAGATTTCTTGGGGATGCCAAATCTCCTGCCCTACTCGGTGTTTTCTTAGCTCTGGCCCAGAACTCTAGCCCCGTAGTTTCGATATGAATTTTATATCTAGACTGAGGGTTTCTCATTCATCTTTGTATCTTCAGGGCTCCTTGCACATAGTAAATTCTTTATAAATGTTCCTAGAAGGAATGGGTGAGCTTCTAAAGATCAAAGGCCATGTTTCCTTTGCTTTGCAAGCTCTTAGCAAAGATAATGGTAACGATAAGACACTGGAAAAAAGTAAGCATGAGACTTTGACAAGGAAGTTCCTGTGGCATGGCATCACAGAAAGAGTCCTAGAAGCTTAAAAGACAGACAAACAAACAAATAAACCAATAGTTCCCTCAGCTTCTTTCTCAAACACGATGGTTATCTTCACAGGGTCGACAGAGCCTTCCACACTTCCTAACAAGCACTGAGGAGGGAAATCCATGGTGATATAAAGGTTCTATCTGTCTGCCAATGGTTTGCAGACATTTAGATATCCAAGTGTTGCCCAGCTTGCATCGTTTCCTTTAATATTTGCTTCCTTGTCATTAAGGCACTTGACAGGCTTAGTCTCAAAGGGACCTAGCACCACTACCTTCCTCATGCTTAATGATCTGTACTTTGGGGGACACCAGGCAGCAGGCAAACTTCAGGACTGAAAATGACCCTACCTCATCACAGAATCCTGGCACTGTGTGAAGGGCAGCTTCTCTGAATGGGGCTTTATTCACCTCGATGATGTGGGCCAAACTCAGAATCGGTCCAACCAGAATTGCTCTGGACAATAGAGGTGGAGAAATCATTATTTAAAGGAGAATTCTTTGGAATCCTTATACGTCCAGATTATTACGTAACATCTGTGGTCCTGGATGTGGGGCAGGGGTGTTTCCCATCCATTTGGGCTGAGACTTCCCATCCTGAAATGTTTGCTCAGCTATCCTTCCGAAAGCCTCAGGTGGTACAGAATATAACTATAGAACACCCCCTAAAACCACGGAATGTCAACAAGGAGTGAGTGTCAACAAGGGGTGAGTGCCTGCAGCTTCACTCCATTATTTCTCTTTTGTTGGTTTTCGTGAGAACTCTCTGAGGCAGAACTCCACACCTATGGGCCAGGACAGGCCACCCTGCTGTCAGCCAGGCAGCAGAGGGAGCTGGAAGTGGGAGCAGGGATGGCAAAGAAGAAGGCCCAGATGGGGCTTGGGGTAGGGGAGGCGGTGGCTGTAGACTGGCTGGAATCCATCCTTGGCTCTAGGCAGGTGGAGGGCCAGGACCACACAAATGTCCTGGTGCCTTTTCTTAAAAAGATGCTCTCTCCCTGAGTGGGTATCAAATGTCCCAGGACTTCGCCCACAGGCTTTTTCTCCAAGTTAACTGCATCCCTCCTGCTGTAATGTAATTCACAGCGGAGATGGTGAGCAGCTTGCTTATCACCTCCTTCTGCTGTCCTAACTCTTCAAACTGTTAAAGGCACTTTATAGGTCACCATTCTCTCTTCCTTCTTTCAGCCTCTAAGAAATGTGGATCCAGAGAAGTAGTACATCCTAAGGTCATAGCTGGTAAACATGCATTTCAAATAATAAAAACAAGTATGATCATACACAAAAGAATAAAATGTCCTTAGAGATATAGGAAGCAGGGCCCTGATCCTGGCTTTGCCATCTATAAACTCTAGCCTCCTTTGACTAGGTTCCTTCATCCTGGTCACATGCAGGACCAGATGATCTGTTATGCTCCTCTGCAACCAGGTTATGACACCCTTCGATATGGACAATAATATGTGTTGATGAGGATGCAGAGAAATTAGAACCCTCATACACTGCTGCTGGGAAATGTAAAATGGTACACCCACTTGGCAAACAGTATGGCAGTTCCTCAAAAGGTTAGAGATCAGTTACCATATGACCCAGAAATTCTACTACTAGCCATATATGTGTGCATGAATAGTCATAGCATTATTTATAATAGCCACAAAGTGACAACCCAAGTGTCCATCGACAGATGATCAGATAAACAAAATATGATCTATCCATGTGATGGAATGTTACTTAGCAATGGAAAGGAATGAAATATTGATACATGCAACATCCTGGATGAACCTTGAAAACATTATGCTAAGTGAAAAAAGCCAGTCTCAAAGGACCACATATTGTATGATCTCACTTATATGAAATGTCCAGAATAAGCAAATCCATAAAACAGAAAGTGGATTAATGGTTGCCCAGGGCTATAGTGGGGGTAGGAGGACAGAGGGACTGAAAATGATGGTTCAGGGGGTGCAGAGTTTCTCCCACAGGTAATAAAAATATTCTAAAATAAATTGTGATGAGTGCACAACTCTGTGAATATACTGAAAGTCATGTAAATGTACACTTTTAAATGGGTAAATTGTATGGTATGTGAATTATATATCAATAAAGATATTTTTAGAAAGAAAGAACAAGAACAAATACAATTCTAAAGTCTCCTTAGCTTCAACAGCAAAATTTTGGGCTTTTCCATGCTGATGTGTAATAAATATCTTAATGTAGTTTTAATTTTCATTTCTCTTTTTATGGGGGAGGTTCAACATCTATTCAGCCGAAAGTCCATTTACATTGATTTCTTTTTATCATATACTACATTCTCACATATATTTTTAGGTCTATTTCTGGACTTTCAAATCTGTTACATATGTCTGCCTATTGATGGGCTAGTCCCACAATTTTAATTATTAAAGCTTTATTATAAAACAGGTAGTGAGATACTCAACAAAGTCAAGCTGTCTATCAACCCAAGCACCCTCCCATCAAACCCAGCCACTGTCCGAAGCTGTCACCTTCCCAGAAGTCATTCATTGTTTCAAATATTAGAGAAACACTTGAAGTTTGTTATAAAACACTTAATAAGAATGCCAAGAAATATAATAGAGACTGAAAAAGGCCTAGTAAGAGATAGGCATGACTGAGACATGACCTCGAGAACAGTATCAGATTCCAAGGCTTACTGTCCTAACAATTTCTGCAAATACACTTACTGTTTGAATCATATCGAACAGTTTACAAAATGCTTCGATTTCAGGCAGGATGACAAACCCAGCCTATGGGTGGTCATCTGACTTCACGAAGGCTAATTATGCTGTCAGGCAATTCAGGAGCAGAGCTCTGGGCTTCTGCCCTGGGAGACAGTGGGGGTTCAGAGGACAGAGGTTTCTTCTCAATGAGACAAGGTCCTACTGGAGACAGAGTGAAGCTATGCAAAAGGATCTGTCACAGACCATCTCCGAGAAAGCCAATTCCAGGCAAAGTCCCATTGCCCGCCCCCTGATCATATCACTGTTGCCCAGAGCAATTCACTCTCTGGTGGTGGGGCTCATTAGAAGATTTTTTTTAACTCCCTAGTGATTTTAATGAGTAGTCAGCATTAAAAATCACTGCTGGCCATTCTCCTTGACTTTGTTCATTCTCTACCTCGTTAGTCACATGTGAAAATGACATCCAGGCTCACCTGTGCTTTCTTATTCCAGATGAAGGGAGAAACTGGAAGTAAGCTACATGATGAGAAGCCAAAGCAGGTAAATGCCAGCACCGTGCCCACCAAACTGGTGAGAATGCAGCCAGAGACTCATTCCATATCCGTGCTTGCTATATATCTGACATCTCCCCCAAAGTTTAGGGGTAGCCGACACACTGGTAATGTGCTCATTTCAGTAGCTGAGCCAAGATCACTTGACTTCAAGCTGCCTTGTAACCAAAGCCCCTTTGCCTGCATGAGGTAGCAGACTGCATGAAGGTAGTTAAAAAGCTGGATAACTCTCCTATCATTGTCTCTTGGCTCTTAGAATGCCCCACGCCATGAGCTTTTGGGGTCACCCCTTTCTAGAACTGCTCTGGGGACAAGAGGGGCCCACCGGGGGCTGGGAACTGGGGCTGGGAACCAGCTCTCGCCCCCAGCTGACTCCTGCATGCTCCTGAACTTCAGAGATCTCTGTCCTAGTTATAGTCCCTTCACTTGGGCTGCGGGAGGGAGAGAAAATACCACAAACCCTGAAAAAATATCTAATCCTATATATGAAATTGAAATTTTTAATCTGATTTAGCTTAATTTGATTAAACTCAAATGAAAAATTCCAGGCGAGTCTGGAAAAGTTCATGGAAGGGATCCTCTGAATCTTAGGAAGGAATAACCGCAAAAGCCCAAGGTAACCTGCCTGACAAGCTTGTGAT